CATATACAAAGACCCTCGCCAAGATTCAGGTCAGAGGAATATTTCGTATACGAGATATCCGAAGAAATGTTTTACCCAAACTTATAGAGATTTTATGGAGACGCCATGCTGGTGCTCACCTGGATGAGCTCCAACATGGCGGACGGAAACCAACAGAAACATCTGTTACCGAGTTTTGCTACAAAAGCGTGAATTTATTCTTCGAGAAACTCATAAACTTGGAAGTAGTACTTTTCTAATACATGAACTGTTTAAATAGCAAAATTTCCTGAAATAATTCATTTTTTAACCTACATGACAGCTCTCTTGGCCGTCATGTAAATGTCACGTCACGCAAAAGCTTAGAAATTGAAGCGTTCTCTATCACAAAACCAAGAATCCTTTTGAAGCGAAAATTTGTATGAAAATTAGTTTTCAGCTGCTCTAATGCATCGTGAAAGTAAAATCCCGGTAGGATCGATATTTTTTTAGTTTGAATTTTAGTGACGTCATGTGAAAACCAACGATATCTTTCATTGGCAGTGGTGTCTCTATTAAAGGTACATCTAAATATTTGTTAAATGTAAATGTTTTGGAAAAACAGCTCGAAAACTTACAGTTTTCCTGTTCAAAAGAAATTGTGAAATTTTTCGAAACGGATAACTTCCAGACATGATCATTCCAGTTTTAAATATGGATGTCACTCCAGCTGCACAGCTCATGATTACTATTTTGTACATTGCACTTGTTTATGGGCTCTCTGTTGAAATCATTGGGGACCATCCATTTGGCCGTGAATTGAATACACCATATGTGTTTGAGGAAACGGCAAGCTGGTCGCACCCTGCTGCAAACGTGGCAGCTGACTACTTTACAAATAGAGCTGACCCCGGGGACTGCCGGGAAAGGAATGGCGTACACATCGCATCGGCTCTGTTTTGTATTAATACCTTTAATTTCCAATTACTCAGTTTAAACTTTACATCGCTAACAATCCATTGTACAAAATAAGATAAAAGAAACCACCTAACAAGAAATTCACTAGATTTTTCTAGTTAAATTAACTTAAACTACTACACACATTTGGTTTGGGAATTTTAAACGTAAGGAAATACCTTTATTAGTGACCTTAAGATACACCATTTCAGCCTACGGGTAGGGGTAAGCGAAGATGTTTACCTCGTAGTTTTATGAAAGGCAACCATTATTTACCAGATGTGATAATGGCGTAAACATTCTACCAGGTAAACTACCCGTTTCTTGCGGGTAAGATGCAGTTTACCCGTGCTTACGGCTACGTGTACGGCTAATTTACCCGTACCCGTACCCGGAAACGGTATATCTTAAGGTCTGTAATGTCTCGTGATACCGCAGTGGAGCTCAAAAAGCAAATGACATCCTTGAAACTATATTTGTTTGCTATCTAAGAAATACTGAAAAAAAGCGCTACTTAAAACAGCCAGTGACATAGCTAAATTGAAATACTGCAATTGCAAAAAGGAAGAATATTTTTCGCCATAATATTCCAACCCAAACCGAAATTTGGACCGTAAGTGTAAATATCGAAATCAAAAACAAAAGTGTTGTTTTCTCATTTTTCTCAGTGGTCTGCTGATCATGAGTATTGAAGTATCAACAACTCGATTTTTTTTTAGTAAAGGGTACAGGATTGACTCGAACCTGAGCCCCCTTTTGTAGGTGGAGGAGTTTCAAAAAAGCTTTTCTGAATTGTGGAAGTCGCCAGGCGTACAAATAAGGGTTGACAGCAGAATTTAAGGACACAATTAACATCTGAATATCTCTTAACCAATGTACTAGCAGACAATCACAGCTTAAACAGAAATTAAGCAGGTAAATTATCACACAGGCAGGTACAAAGGATACAAGAAAAGCAATAAGAACACTCGATAACGCCTTTGTTACTTTTCGTTTTTTCTTTATCTTTTTTATGTTTTTCGTGTATTTCTGTTTGGCTGTTACTGTGTTTTCAATTGCTCTCTGGTTTTGCCAAAATTTTGATCGCTCACGTAGGATTTTGAGAGTGGCTCTATGAACAAACAGGAGAATGATAATAGTGCTAAAAACAGCAGTGTTGACAAAAATAAAAGAGTACAGAAAAAAACCGAGCTTAAAGTATAAGAAGGACAAGCCTAACGAGGCTACCCAGATCGACACTGAGGTAATGATGGCGTGTTTAGACGAAACCTTCGTCTTGTATTTGATTGGTGATGTTACCGAGACATACCTATCCGCGGTAAGTGCTGCCAGAGTTAAGACTGATGCCGTACCCAGAATGAAATAAAATATATGCGGGGTCCATAAGATATCAACGATATTTACCATACCACGTGCCTCGCTTATGACATATGCTGTTACTGTGGGGTTTACTAATAATCCCACAAGTAAATCTGTCCCGGATAAGCTCAGCAAAAAGTAATGGAAAGGCTTTTTCATATTTTTAAATGGATCTCGTACAATGGCTAAACAAACGAGGACGTTTCCAGTAACGGTGATAAGGCAGAAAACGCTTGCAAGGGATGCGGTAAAATACGAAAGGCCTTTGTACTGATGAGTGCTCGCACAAAGTTTTGGATCAGAGAATGCCATCTTCAGATAAAAAAGTTTTTGACGTCCAGATAAGACTTTCACAGAACGTTTTACACTGTTACAGTAAGCGCACTTAGCTTTCTACATAATAGTCATGATATTCTATATTTTCGATATGTATTTTCACTTCAATTCTTCAGGTCAGTTTTTAAATTGTTCTTCGTATTTTAAAAATGGTTTATTTTATCCGTGTCTTACTTTGAGAAATCTTTTTCTCTCGTGACATGGATCGTTGAACATATCTCTGCTTCCACGGTGTGTTACTTATTTTTCTCTTGTGTGAGTAATCGGGAAATTTTGCTTCGCCTCAATAATACCACTGAAAACTAATTACACTTTTGCTCCATTTTCCTGAGTCCTGGAATTCTTCTTTGACGATCATGACAAAAGAACGTTGAGACTCCGCTTTCGCTGAGTTGCCAGAGGGAAGTAACAAAACTCAGATTTCCAATTCCTTTCTGACATGAAAAGTAGTCTTCCTCTGTCGCAGTTACGGTAACACTAGTACTGTTCGAACTGTGAAGAAAATAAGGCGGAAAATTAAGGCCTCTTTCTTTTCCTCCTGCTGGCTTTTTTCTCGTCTGAAGGACTAAATACTTTATTCATTCAATAACAAAAGGCAACCAAACACCTGTTTAACTAGTAATATCTTGCCTTTTTGGTCTTAAATAAATGAAGTGTCTTTGTGAACTTTCGTTATATTTTTCTTTGTCACAAGATCAGCAGAAACATTACGCCGTATCTTACTAAGAATGCTGAAGGGAATAATCGAGCCTAGTAGTCATTTAGGACTAGTCATTAAGAGTCAGTATAAAGAATCTCCGAGTCTATTCAACATTAAATTAAGAAATGTTAAATTTTCTCGGTTTTAATGATAGTTTGTATCATGCTGATGAATAACTAGTACCTTTGTTTATGCTTTCTTTCTTGAACTAGCCTTGCCCCCGAGCTTCTTTCAGAATAAGGGTCGCCAGGTATCGTCCTTTCAGAACAAGTACGAAAGTTAAAACCCAGTGTATAGACTGGATTGACGTTAAAAACAACGAGTTTATTCCTTGCTTTGCAATAAACTATTCAGACGTTTTTGAAATTAAATAGATGTCACAAATTTGATAGAAGAAGCTGTCACACAAATCGGTAAAAATATTCAGGTTTACCAAGTTTGAAGACATTCATTAAAAAATGTGACAGCCTCATACATTGCGATTTGCGGAAAGGGTTATTACTAATTAAAAATTTAACATATACAAAGTGGCAAGGATGTTGCAAATTAAGAGGCTGAAATTTATAACAAAGTGTAGCCTACGTGACCCGGGTGCTAAAAGGGAGCACGAGGAAGTGATTACGATGAGGGGAAAACTAAAACTAAAACTTGAACCAAACGGAAATTTACAGCCACCAGCGGTCGCAAAAACGAAGGAAAGGTGGTTCTTATATATCAGGCGTCCAATTTTCGTCTTTTTCACCCACCCCCCTAAAATTGTAAATTGTAAAAAAAATTTGTAAATTCCTATTTTACCCACGAAGGGAAGCAAAAAGAATTCACATGAACTCGTTTAAACGTGTCCGTGCGTTCCAGATCGAATTGGAATTTGAAAATGTTGGTTTTGAGGAGTGGGGAAAACCACCGGAGTCCCCGGAGAAAAACCTCTCGGAGCAAAGGAGAGAACCAACAACAAACTCAACCCACATATGGCGTCGACGCAGGGATTTGAACCCGGGCAACATTGGTGGGAGGCGAGTGCTCTCATCACTGCGCCACCCTTGCTCCCTCTCTTCCCATTTTCCCTTATAATTAATTCCTCTCCGATCCCTTTCGATACTTGTGCGCATTGCTGTTCTGAAGAAGGCAGAGAAAGTGGCATATATAAAGCAAATATCGCTAGCAGGATCTTATCAGGCATGGAGAAAGAAACTGCACTTCGTGAAGAAACTTCAACATCGGGCTCAAAAAATGATGAAGAGGAACGGATTGTAGACTCTGAAACATCGTCAAGATCATCGAGAGATTAGAGCGATATTAGCGACAGCCCTGTATATTGCATGCAGTGGTCACATCAACGTCAAGAAACGGCCGAATGAGAACACGGGTCGTCCGAGACAGTTACGTGCCATAGCAGAACAAGAAGAAAAGAGAAAGAAAGAAAAAGTGAATTATTCTGATGAATGAATTGTAATAAAACTGCTGTTTAACAGGAACTTCAGTAATTGCAAGTTCCCGTTCAATAGGAAGGACTGGTATGAAGCTTTAGAATACGAAAAAATGACATCAATGTGGTAACTGAACACATTTACCCAAACCACTGTGAAGAAAAGGCTTGACTCTCCCTTAATTCCTTTTAAAATAAAGTTTGACCCCCCCCGCCCCTAAGGGTCCCATTTGTTTGGATGACCTTCCTCTCTGAAGCCCCAACCCTCCCCCCCCTTATTAAAACGTACATTGCCTTGCTTATACAACCGTATCTATAAATAACGACCATGGATCGTTTTTTACTAGATCGTGGGAATACTTTCAGGCACATATCAATGCCATGGAGTTTGAAAAGTTAGTAGTAATTTCCCATTGTTTCGTTTAGCTGTCAATGTTTCCTTTTCTATGGGGCTAAGAAATGTTTAAGTTTAACACCCGCATCCCAATCTTATATACCAGCTAACACGTACAAGTAGGTCCTTACCTCAGCTTATTCCAATGAGAGTAAATCTTCAGACTAAAGCAGAATTGTTCTTTAATGTCAAAGGCACACGAATTCATAAAACCCAAATTAAACGGAGACGTATTTCAGTTAAACAATCAGGTCACACCTGCCAGCGGCCGAGGTGAGGATCAGTAATTTATTCCGAGTTTCTTTCCTTAATTATCTACTGCCCTGTTCGGGGTGACATTTTAGCCAATGACAATCTTCACACTCGAAGCTCTGCTTCATCCGGAACCAGACATATATAAAATGAAAACTACATACTTGCCTGTTCTCTCGGCAGGCCGTTTCATTGTTTTCTTGTTTCTTAGTGTTGCGAGCAGGTGCTAGCACCAAATGACATATATAATACAAAAGACTGAAAATACACGATACTATTTTCATTGATATGTTTGCTCCGAAATGGGCACGCGGGCCCCATAATTTAGCACGTTTTCCCTCCTGGGACCCTTGCATTACCCCTGGGTATTGAGCAACATATATTGTCAACATCAGGATCACTGATCATATGGCTTTTCTATGCGTTCATGCCCCGAGAGGGCATATATACTTGCGTTTTTTGCCCCCCCTCCTCCCCTCAGCGACGAAAACCCCGTTATGCTGCACTTCTTCGCATACGCGGAAATTATTTTCGCCCATATCTTAGTATTCCCCGCGTGTGCCATAGAGGTGCAGCATATCGATGAAAATTCTCCTACGTGTTACACTCTGCAGCTAGGCTAGTTACATTGTCGAGGAAGCATGATCACATATCGCCCGGTACTAATGGAGCTTCATTAGTTGCCAGTTGAGCAGCGCGTAGATTTTTAAAAGATCTTGTTATTTACGTATAAAGTGATGAATGGCATTGCACCTGTTTATCTCCAGGATCTGTTAGACCTTCATAGACCTTGCCGTAGCCAAAGATATCTGGAAACATGCAGCTTCGAAGACACAACTCTTATAATTTAAAATCGTACGGGTTCAGGATATTTTCTACATGTGCTTGCAATGTCCTTCCACGGGAGCTATACTAAGAGTCTGCGATTCTGTAAGTAGTTTTAAGAAAGCCCTGAAAACGTTTCTTTTCAAAAAGGCTTATTGTTGAAGACAAACATTTTAAGAACGTATGTTAGAGATTGGTCCCAAGATTTCGAGATTTCATTTAAGTTATATTTTATTTTTTTTAAGGCAATTGTTAATTGTTATTAATGTGAAACGCTTGTGGACTCCTAAGGAATAAATGTTATATAAATAAATTGTTATTATTATTATTATTATTATTAGTATACCGACGCCTCCAAGGCAACACGAAAGCGAACCCGGGGGGTATTCCTGGGAACTTGTGGTGGGGGTGTTCCGCCCGGTTCTCCAAATCCTCACCCTGTTTCAGACCAAAAAATTGTCCGTTCAATTTCCACACCCGTTTTCAGAACTGGCGTAAGGAGAAAAATTATGTTATCATTACCTAGATTAGAACGCAACAAAACGATTTATAAAAATCCATTTAGAATTCGCATATTACTCTTTCCTTCTTATTCATTTGAAATTGAAACAACAAACACGTTCATGCACTCCCGTATTTCCCGAAAAACCATAACCGAACTCAGACCAAAATAGGTAAAGTCTATACCCGTTTTCACACCAAAACGGCGCATAAACCAGACGCTTTGGGGCGGCACATACCTGTAAGGCAAATGCAAGGAAGTACCCCCCCCCCCCGGGAAGAGAATCAACAATAATTTCTGCTACACCAAGATACAACCGTCACCCTGCTTTAGACAATTACGTAATTAAAATTTGTCAGCTTAATAGGTCAGAAATGTCATTGACGCCACCACTGTGTAAACCTCGAAGGTGAAGAATTTAATGAATATTAATTGTGTCACTATGAACAATACTCGACAAGCCTACCGATGATAAAAAGGTTACAACAGCTGTGTTTGAGTGGATTACCGCTGTCGCATAATTTTTACGCGCGTAAATGAAAATACAGAGTCAATGTATGAAAGGTTGCGCTTTAAAGTTGAACTTCGCTCCCTTTTCTCGGTACCGTTACTAGTTGAACCTCATGAAAAAATTAGCCTCCTAAATGATTGCAAGGTTTGTCTGGATTCTACCAATGAGAGTATTATGAAGATTAGAGAGAGTTAGAAACACGACCAGAACTACACTAACTTGATGATCGGCCAGTACTCTATAGACGTTTTAGCGCTTTGGAGATGCTCAGTGTTTTAGGATAGTTTCTCTCCCAAAACTGCTTATTAGACAAAGTTGGTGTCCCACCAGTCACCCTAGCCACTGTTACATCTGATCCTATTCTAACAAAGGACAGGATTATCTCACCTACCGACCTCAGCTGTTTATTGATTCGATTTTTCATCGATTTTCCAGACGAGCAGTGAAAGCAACATCTTATTCAAATCGGCTGATGGTAAATGTATTTAGACCTTGAAGTAGACAACTTCACAAATTTTATCGATATGATTGTTTACCACCAATTCTGACGAGAGATAGGTGGAATACTTCTGTAACTTTAACAGGACATTGTTTGTGAACAACAGGGCTAATAATGTGGCATGAATACCGGCTGATACACATAATTTAAGTATAGTTTTTGTCGATTTTATTTCAGTTCTCAGTCGTTTCTCTGTAATGTAAAGCTTTGAAAAGTCCTATTTCCCATTGCGCATGTCCGTTGGGAATTTCTGGTAATACCATTCTGTTATACACAAGTATACACCTATTTCAAAAAAGGTTGTCGGAGAAAACGGCGAATGGCAATTGTCGAATGGAGATTGTACGACCGAAAGAAAATTTCCCACGCGGCATGACCAATCAGAAGCAATACCCAGATGTGGGTAGATCTGGCTAGTGACGCGTCATCAGTATGGAATTTATGCGCTCGTTTCTCAGACGTCATTTGGCAGGGAAACCAGTGGTAGCGCCGCCAAATGTCGGCTGTTTTCTCAGGCTAGCTTGTCTTGAGAGTTTTCTGTTTGGAAACAGTGTTTGACAAGACAACAAGAGCTGGCATGGTGTACATGTAGGAGGTAAGAATCAGACCCCGGTCCAAAGAAAATGTCTGGTGCACTGCTTTCTTTTCCTCACACTTTTAACTGATTTATTACCTTTAGTTATAAACGTCACAGATCAGTAACAACCTCGCACGGTTGAAATTCAAATTCGCCAAACCATCATTTAGATAAAAACTTTTTCCAACTACAGTAGCTAGTACTACCATAACAGCACAAAATTTACTGAATATTGTAAGGTTCATTTTGACTTAATCTACATGATAATAAATGTATGCTAATTACACTACGCACTTCCTATGAAGGAATTTTATCCTGAGTACACTTATAGATGAACATATTACACTTAGCTGTAAAAATAATGCACAGAACCTGCCTCAAGTATTGCTTGATACAGAAGATCCAGGTCTGTTGATTAAACTCATTTCGTACGTTCTACGATATCGTCTCCGTGCCTCGCTTTTTTCCCTGTCAGGTAATTGCAACTGAAAACCAAAACCAGTTATTCACAACTAGCTAAAGACTTATCTAGAAAAACTGTATTGTACAATTGAAATTAAAACTTGTAATGTTAAATCATAATATCGAGTCTCAAAAGGACAAAGAGTCGGACGAGGGTGCCTATTTCCCTTTTGTAAGAGGTCTGCACCCTATTTAGTGGCCAATGTTTTCGTCCTGTTAGAATAGCAATTTTCTAGAATAAGGCAAAAAATACATTTCTAAATACAGTCAAAGCGCCCCGCTTTACGAAGAGCCGCTCAATGCGGATACTTCATGCTTTGTCTCTTGGGAAATAAAGTTCCTTACATTTTCTCCAATTTCAACTCGCGGGACATCCCGTTAATACTGACACTTTCTATGGCCTATACCCAGTGTTCGTATTAACGGGAATTGACTGATATCCAAGGCTAGACTTGCTACAAGTCGACCTCTTATAAGTTCTTAAAGGTGAGCGAAGCGAGCTTCAATGCATGAGATTGCGCAGCGACCGAGCGAGCGACGAAGCCCACGAAGTCGACTTGTTTTGCCTGATCTCAATGGATTTGAATAATATAAATTCACGCGGGTAAGAAATGATTGACATATGCTGCGTCGGGAACAGCGTGAAATATCACTCACTATCCTATTGGTCAATTGTAATGACGTCACCGGTAGAATTTTCGACCGGTACGTGAGTTTCGCGCCAAACAGGTACGAAAAGCCCTTTAAAATGGCATAACCAACCCGGATAAAAATAAAGGACTGAACTGGATTCTAGCTGAGGTCTTGGTTACAAACTAAAGAAAGTTGCATTTGATTAGTGTTATCCGGTTGTCCAACTGAAGAGACCAGTGCAGGATTTACCTGCGCTTGAGCCCTTTGTAGGTGTAGGAGTTTCAAAAAAGCTTTTTTGAACTGTGGAAGCCGCCAGGCGTACAAATATGGGTTGACAGCAGAATTTAAGGATATGGTTAATTTCTGAATATCCCTTAACCAATGTACCAGCAGACAATTACAGCTTAAACAGAAATTAAGCAGGTAAATTATCACACAGGCAGGTACAAAGGATACGAGAAAAGTAAGAAGAACAATCGATAACGTCTTGGCTACTTTTCTTTCTTTCTTTATGTTCTTTATCTTCTTTGCGGATTGTAGTTTTTCACACATTGTGTTTTCAACAGCTCTCTGATCTTGCCAAAATTTCGAGCGCTCACGCAAGCGTCCGAGAATACTTCTGTGAACAAATAGGAGAATGAAAAAAGTGCTGAAAACAGCAGTGTTGGCAAAAATGAAAGAGTACAAAAAGAAACCGAGTTTGAAGTATAAAAGAGAAAAACCCAGCGACACAACCCAAATGACCACCGAAGTTACAATGGCGCGTTTAGACGTAATCTTTGTACTGTATTTGACTGGCGATGTTACCGAGACATACCGGTCCGCCGCTAGTGCTGCCAGCGTTAAGACTGATGCCGTACCCAGAATAAAATAAAGCATATGGACCATATGAGAAGTCTGTAAGATATCAGCGTCATTTATCGTGCCACGTGCTTCTCTAATGTGGACAACTATCTTGGTGGGGTCCAGTAATAATCCCACGAGTAAATCTGTCCCGGATAAGCTCAGTAAAAAGTAATGGAAAGGCGTTTTCATTTTTCTAAATGGATCCCGCATAATGGCTAAACAAACAAGAACGTTTCCAATCACAGTTGCAAGGCAGAAAACAGTTGCAAGTGAAGCGGTAAAATACGAAATCTCTTTGTGCAAATGGGTGTTCGCGCAAAGTTTTGGATCAGAGAATGCCATTGCGTCGGAAAAATTTGTCCAAAACAAAAAAATATTTGACGCTGAATTACTTTGTTTCCTTTAGAGGATATATCTACCAAATTATACACAAAGACTTTAACGTAACTAATTTACATTTTCTTAAATGGATTCGTGTTAACCACTTCTGATAACATAGACTATATTACACCTTAGCTATTAGCTGCATCAAAGTTTTTTCGGTGAGCTTTTTTGTATTACTTGCTTAGAAAACGACTGACATCTAGGAGCTTCCAAAGTGAACTTTTCCCGGCTTCCGTGACGAATGTTAAATGCTGCGCCTCATAACCGGCGAAACCAAGTACTTTGCCGTCAGTTTTTGGGTCCAAGAATTCTTTTCCTGACGATGACTAATGTAAAAATTGTGTCGCGACGTCAATTCGTTGAGGCATACCAGAAGATAGTCCAAGGGGCCGCTATCCACCTGGGACGTCTGAAGTTTAGAATCAGGCCTGCCAGAGAAGCAGCTACAAATAGCTTCTTTTACCTCCAATACGTTCCTGAAAGCTGCTTTTGTAGCTCTTTCTTGTTACTGTATGGATATACGTTAAACGTCCGAACGAACTGAAAAGAAAAAATGACAAATTAACGATCACCCCAGTCAATTTGTGAAAACACAATGAGTCATTCCTTCTCTCCTCTGCACAAATAGCACCTGCGCGCAAGGTTAGGACAACAAAGAAATAATGAACGGTTTTTAACAAAATAATCAGTGTCCGAGACGCAGTGACTGAACTTTGAGAAGTTCATGCAAGTTGCTTTAGTTTAAAGGGGCTTTCCTTGTCTTTGTTAATTTTGAAAGACAACGACCTTGAATAGCTGCATTTCTTAAAGAAACAGTTACATTATTAGGCGCCCACATGTTTAGAAGACGTTCATTCATATTTACTGTGTAAGGGGCTTGATAATAGTCAAAAGCATCTTTCATGATCTTTCTCGTTGATATTGTTTCAAATTCAAACCAAACATGCTTTTCAAGATGATGATACCATTTAATGGAAAAGTCTAATAATTTTCGAAAACACTATGTATTTATCCAATCAAACAGCCTTCTCCAAAGCTTATATACATAATTGTCATCAAATGCACAATAATGAGCTCAATCCTTTGCGAAGTATATTTCAGTGGCGCGGTTTATAGCCTAAGCAAACAGTTGACATTTGTCGACGCTATCACTGGTTTCCCCGCCAAATGACGTCTGAGAAACGAGCGCAGACATTCCATACTGATGACGTGTCACTACCCTGATCTGATTGGTCGTGCCGCGAGGGAAATTTGATTTAACCAATCAGAAGCACTACCCAGATCTGGGTAGTGACTCGTTGTCAGTATGGAATTTCTGCGGTCGTTGCTCAGACGTCATTTAGGTTAACTTCGAAACTTACTTTTTCGAAAATTTGAGCCAGATAAAAGGCTGCCTAAAATTCTAGGTGACTTTTTCGAGGTGAAAATCCGTTAAAAATGGGCAATTGAACCATTTTTTAGGTGTTGGGAAATCCTAAGAGAGGCAGGCGAGGAAGGAATTTTACAACAAATGTTCCGAAAATTCAAGATCGTCTTCCGAACAGATATTTTTTAATTGACGTTGGGTGCCCCTGTCGTATGCTAATAAATAAGTAGTACCTTTCTTTAGTAATGGAAAGCATTCAGTAACCAACAAACTATACGCTACGAGCAGAGGTTGCAGTGCCGGATCCACACCTGGGGTCATCCAGACTCCGTTTTGGTCTAAAAATAAGCAAGGGGGGCGGGCCCCAGGCCCCTTCCCTGATCAGCCGTTGGGTTTCTCTATTGCGTGGCTTTTAGTGTTTCCATGGTTTCTGCGAACGACTTCGTAAACGCTAAGCCATGCAAGACAGAAACCTCTGCTCGCAGGTTAAAAATCTTTAATTCTAAATTTTTCCTCAGCTTATCAATATGAATCACCAGGCCGGTTTCCTACTGCCTGCTGCGTTAAGTAGGTTTATTCTTTGATATTCAGCCTTAGTAAGAAATTTAAAAGCAAAGAATTTAAATATGTAAACTGAGCTAAGTTTGAAAACAAGACTGTCACAATCTGTTCGACAATAAAATTATCGCACTCTATGGATGGATAGCTGTCGTACTTTTCAATGATAGGCTGTCACAATTCTAATTTAGTAAGTTGTCGCGCGAATCGGTAAAACCGTATGCACGAGTTATTACCAACTGTAGATTTAATAACAACACATATTTTAAAATGCAAAAATTGAGGCAAAGGTTGACAAAGGTGCACAGATGTTACAAATTAGAGTAACAAATTTATTATAAAGTTTAGCGATAGTCATGAATAGTTCGTAGTGGAAACAGTGTACAACAAAACCTGCTCAACATCAGAGCAGAATAAAAGTCAATAAAAAGTTAATAATAATTGTCAAAAGGTAAACTGAAGACAACTTCAGTGACTGTGATGATCTAACACAACAGCAGATTTGCATGCAGTAATCTGTCGAGAAAATTACGTGTAAACCGGCTGCAAAAAAATTAACGCGCAAAAATGATGGCGTTACAATCAAAATGTTTTTCAAATTTGCAAAAAAAAAGAAAAACCTTTAATTCTTTAGCCGTCAGAAAGAATTTTAGAATTTTTGTGGGCCACATCCATGAGAAGAGGAATTTTTGTCTACTAGCTGAGGAGTTTCCAAGTTTTTTTGCTCGCTAATTGGTCTGCTACAGAGGCTATCTGAAGTATTTTAGAGTAAGTAATCATTTACCTTTTTTTTTTCCAAGACCTTTCAGTACTTTCATGTGTCAATGCTGCAGGCATCTTGCTACGGTTATAGCTAATGGATCTATTTGCCCTAGAAACCTGTTTCCCTCGTTTCAAGGTGCTTAACTTTATATTATATTATATATTAACCCTTCAGTTTCTTTTGTTTTATTTTGCACTGTGTATTGTGTTGGACGTGGCTGCATTGCAGTTTGTTGGTCGCTCAATATCGGTGTTTTTAACTTTTAACATTTTACTTTGCACTGTATATTTGTGTTGGACGTGGCTGCATTGCAGTTGTTGGTCGCTCAATATTGGTGCTTTTTCTAACTATTTAACTGTTAACCAATTTTATTTGTTTTTATGCCTACAACACTCTCATTTACACACACCCTCCCTCCCCACCTTACCCACTATTTAGTGGAGACTTGGGAACCCTTTCATTAGGGATTCCATACCACACCTGTAATGCCACAAAGGTTGCTAGAGAAACTACGGTTTTTTTTTTTTTTTTCAAAGAATTGAAATGTAAACTGACGCTAAACGTGTTGCTCCTGCCACGTCTACTAATTGAAGTTAAGATCGGCAGCAAATAAAGAAAAAATTTTTTCTTTGCACGGTAGCTATTATAATGATATGAAAACAAAAGGAAAGGAGAATTTGAGGCAAGGACAATGTTGAACCACAAAATATACAAAGTATACAGAGTACAGTGTCTGTATTAGCAATGAAAGAGTTGCTTAATCCTGTCATAATAATAATTTGAATGAAACGAAGATTCATCAATTCACAGAATAGAAAAACGTATTATACTCAAGCTTTCGATTCCATCGCGGAATCTTTATCAAGTGATGGAAATGGACGGCAGATCGCGGGAAGCTCGTAACCAGCGCCCCTGTTCAATAATGTTGGAGCCCGACAAATTATTTCCATGGCTTGCTGACTATTCTCTTGAACAGATCCTCCTCAGTTTTTCTATCCTGTGAATTGAATACGCTGTATGTGTTTGAGGCAAAAGGTAAGCTGGTCGAGCCCTTCTGTAAAGGTGGCTGGCTTCTTTGCAACTACAGTTGACCCCGGGGACTCCTGGGAAAGAAATTGCTGTACATATTGGCTGTGTTTTGTATTCATACCTTTAATTTCCAATTTCTTAGTATAAACTTTACATCGCTACCAGTTTATTTGTACGATTAAAATTCACGAAATAGGATAAAAGAAACCACCTAACAAGAGATTCACTCGATTTGTTAAGTTAAATTAACTATACTACACCCATTTGGTTTGGGGGTTTTAAACTTAAAAAAACCTTTAATGTCTCGTGTGATACAGCGGTTGAGCTCAAAAAAATACTGAAAAAAGTGCTACTTAAAATCAGCCAGTGACATAGCTTAATTGAAATACTGCAATTGCAAAAAGGAAGAATATTTTTCTCCATAACATTCCCTGAAGGCAACCGAAAATAAGTGGACAGTTAAGTGTAAATATCGAAATCAAAAACAAAAGTGTTGTTTTCTCATTTTTCTCAGTGGTCTGCTGATCAGTATTGACAACTCGATTTTTCTTGAGTAAAGATACAGGGTTGACTCGACCCTGAGCTCCTATTTGAGGTGGAGGAGTTTCAAAAAGGCTTTTCTGAATTGTGGAAAACGCCAGGCGTACAAATAGGGGTTGACGGTAGAATTTAAGCAAACAAATAATGCATGAATATCTCTTAACCAATGTACCAGCAGACAATTACAGCTTAAACAGAAATTAAGCAAGTAAGTTATTCCACAGGCAGGTACAAAGGATACAAGAAAAGTAAGAAGAAGTATCGATAACGCTTTGGCTACTTTTCTTTCTTTCTTTATGTTCTTCATCTTCTTTGCGGATTTTTGTTTTTCAGGGATCGTGTTTTCAACAGCTCTCCGATCCTGCCAATAATTTGAGCGATTACGCAAGTGTCTGAGAATACTTCTGTGAGTAAACAGAAGAATAAAAAAGTGCCAAAAACAGCAGTGTTGGCAAAAATGAAAGAGTACAAAACGAAACCGAGTTTGAAGTATAAAAGAGAAAAGCCCAGCGCCGCAACCCAAATGACCACCGAAGTTACAATGGCGCGTTTAGACGTAATCTTCGTCCTGTATTTGATTGGCGATGTTACCGAGACATACCGGTCCGCTGTAAGTGCTGCTAGCGTTAAGACTGATGCCGTACTCAGAATGAAATAAAGCATATGGAGCATCTGAAAGTCCCATGAGAGATCACCTTTATTTAGCCTGCTATGTGCTTCTCTACTGTGGACCAATATCATGATGGGGTCCAATAATAATCCCACAAGTAAATCTGTCCCGGATAAGCTCAGCAAAAAGTAATGGAAAGGCGTTTTCATATTTCTAAAAGGATCCCGTACAATGGCTAAACAAACGAGGACGTTTCCAATAACAGTCGCAAGGCAGAAAACGGTTGCAAGTGAAGCGGTAAAATATGAAATTTCTGTGTGCGAATGGGTGTTCTCACAATGTTCTGCATAAGATAACCCCATTGCATCGGAAAAAAATAGTCCAAAAATTGTTGGACGTTGAATTATTTGTTTCCTTTAGAGGATATATCTACCAAATTACAAACAAAGAATTTAACATAACTAATTTACATGTTCTCAAATGGATTCGTGTTAACAACTACATAGGTTTTATCAAACCATGGTTGTCTATCTGCATCAAAGTTTCTTCCGTGAGCTTTTTGTTATGGCTTGCTTAGGAAACGTCTGAGATCTCAGAGCATCCAAAGTGAACTTTTTCCAGCTTCTGTGACCAATGTTAAAAGCTGCGCCTTATAACTGGCGAAATCAAGTACTTTGCCGCCGGTTCTTGTCCAAGAATTCTTTTCCGGACGATGACTAATGTAAAAAGTATGTCGAGACTTCAATTCGTTGATGCTTACCAGAAGATAGCAAGAAGATAGCAGAACTGGGGGCGCTATCGACCTTGGACGCTGAGGCCTGTCAGAGAATCAACTACAAATAACCTCTTTTAACTCCAATACCTTCCTGAAAGTTGCCTTTATAGCTGGTTGTTACTGTATGTATAAACGTTAAACGTCCGAACTGCGAAAAAAAAGACAAATTAACGATCACCCCAGTCAATTTTTTCATATTAGTTTGAGAAAACAAAATGAGTCATTCCTTCTCTCCTTTGCACAGGTAGCACCTGCGTGCAAGGTTAGGACAACAAAGAAACAGTGAAAGAGTTTTAGCAAAATAAACAGGAACAATATATTTAAGAAATATCCTGCTGTTCAGCTGTAAGTCAAAAGATAGTGTCATTGTGATCAGTAAAATACATTTGTTTTTAACCTCAAAAGTTTTTTGTTTTAAACTATTATTCGCCGCTCATATGTTTAGAAGACACTCATTCATATTTAGAGTGTAAGGGGCCTTATATTAGTCAAAAGCGCCTTTTTTACTGATTTTGTTTCAAATTTAACACTACACATGCTTTTCAAGATGGGTTTACCATATAATGGAAAAACCCAATAATTTTCGAAAAAACTATATATTCACATCCAAAATCCAACAGCCTTCTCCAAAGTTTATATACATAATTGTCATCAAATGCACATTGAGCACAATCCTTTCCGAAGTACATATCTTTCGGTGGCGGTTAACTGTGAGCATTAGGACCAACTCTTTCGAAGAGGAGTGTCATTCAATATATAGGCACCACGGAGATGAATACTGTGTTCTAACAAGAGCTTCATTATTCTTTTAAAAAATCTTATGCTTATAAATAACTAGTACCTTTCTTAATCAAAAGCATTTTTAACCAACAAACTCTACCCTATGAGCAGAGCTTTCTCACTTGCATGGCTTTTAGTAGCCCTGAATTTCATACGATTACTTCGACGAGTCGTTTTTTAGCAACTACGAAGACGACCACAACGAAGACTTCAAAAAAACAATAGGTTTTACCAGAAACTCATAAGGGGTTGAAACATGTAACTCGCGTTCTATGGTCGTGAATATTCACTTTTACCATATTTGGAAAACTTAGTGGCAGATATTCATTTTAAACAAATGGCTGCCACTCGATCACCATGCAGATGTTTGAAGACAAGAGTTCTGCATTTCAAGGTTCATTTTCCACTCTATGGCCAAGACAATTGCGTTTTTGAAAAGGAATTTATGTATTTTTAAATGTTTCATAGACGTTTTATAAATTTTTCTCTTCTGCGCTAACGAAAAATTCTAAAATGTGCTCCGATTTGAGATGGATTTTGTGTTGAATTTTGCCATGTGCTCAGCCGATTTCACTTGCGTGAACGGATCCACGATCAAGATAGTGTTTTCCGAATTGCTCTAAAAGATTAACTTTTTGGATTTTGAATGAACATTTTCAAGAAACGGCTTCTCTGTCTATTTTTTTGAGTTTGTTCATTCATAAAATTAGCTCATAACACGATCGTGACTACAACATCCAAGCTGAATTTAAGCTTTTAAAATGCTTCTCACATTCATTACACGCATCACTTTTTACGAAGATGTCAGGTTCAGGTTTTGGACACTTTTCGATACGCAGCTAATGAATTTTATTCGAAGATATTTCTTACTGTTTATTCTAGACTTTTAATATAAGTGAAAAGCCTATTTGCAGTATAAGTTGACTGTGCAGAGGGTCAACGAGGCATCGTTGTTTGAAGTGACAACTTCAAGAAGTTGCGAGGACGTCAGTGGGTTTCATAATGTTATGTTTGGCCCGGATGGTGAGGCAATAATATCCTGCTCAGTGTTTCGGTAAGATTCCTGGTTTCAACCTTTGAAAGCTTTCTCGGCTTTCGGGAGTTTTTCCCCCGTTTGTCGGCCATTTTTTCCAGCGGGCGCGGGAACCTGAAGTAAAATTACGTCACGTTGTTTACGAAGTTTGATTGGTCAGTCATCTCTTCTTCTCGTTCCAAATATGGTACTTTTGAAAATGAATAATCACAAGCATCGGACAAAGCAAACATATGAGAGTTGCACGTTTCAGGCCCCGTCCACACGTATCCGGAGATTTTTGTATCCGCAATTTTTTTTATGCGGATACAAAAATATCTGCGTCCACACGTAGCGTATACGAATCGTATACGACAGTCCACACGTATCCGATTCGTATCCGGACATCTCAAAGGATTAGTCAAATCTCGCGCGGAAAAAGACTGGTTCTGATACTGTGACGTCAGCGTATACAAAAATATACGGATACGAGCGTCCACACGTATCCGGATACACAGCGTATACAGAAATTTCCACTCTGGAGAGCGTATACAGAAATCTCCGGATACACCGAGCGTATACGGCGGACACGTGTGGACGCTAGGTGTATCCGCACAAAAAAATTTGCGGATACAAAAATCTCCGGATACGTGTGGACGGGGCCTCAACCCCTTATGAGTTTCTGGTTTTACTTTAATGATCAAAACAACAGCTCTGCACGGACATCACGTTTTTTAGTACATTTCTTTGACGTCCACTGCACGATTACGACGTGAAGCTTCCTTACTTGACGTTTTATAGAGGACGTGGACCTCTTTTTGAACCTGAATAAAATCCTTTAAGAATTCAACACCAGGAAAAGTCGCCAGTATTTGGCATATTGAGGGGGTCCAAATAGACGCGTTTTAAATAGTAAGTTTGAAAGAACGGAAATTCATTTTTTTACGGACGGTTTCACCGCCGTCGTCGTCGTCGTCCTTGCTTTAGGTCCCAGTAGTAACTTCAGCGACTGATGATCTAAAGCAACAGCCGATTTGCATGCAGTTGAGAAAATTACCGAAAATTACCGTAAACTGCAAAAGAAATTAATGCGTAAAAATGATGGCTTTACAATCAACATGTTATTCAAATTTGCAAAAAAAGAAAACTTTCACGTCTTAAGCCGTCAGCTAATTCTCTAAGTTTAAAGTGAAGAAAGAATTTTAGAATTTTTAAAGTCGGTTAATTTGTGGCCACCAGAAGTTGGAAACAGTGCGGTATTTTAGCGGTTGAATTCGATACCGGAATATTATCCTGACACAACTCCAAACCTTTGCATCCCCACGTATTATTTGGGCTGCCATTTTTTAAGGCTCTTGCAAGTTACTCTAAAGTTCGGTTAACATTTTTGAAATTTCCGTGCTTAACATTTATACGTTCATATATTTTTTTACGAAAATGACTCCAATTCATTCTGAAGTAACGCATGCTTTAGTTCACAGTTTTCTACTTCAAAATGAAGTTAGTTTGGCTGGACCTATTGAGCTACAAAAAACGTTGCAGTTTGCGTTTTGAATGCTTTTTTCGTTTCAAATTTATTTTAGAATATTCTCGCCCAAATTTTGCTATCAGAATATCTTGTACCAGTCCAGCAAACACGTACTTAAATATGAATCCTTACGTCAGCTTCGTTCAAGGAGTGTATCTTCTACTAAACCAAATTGTTCTTTGATATCAGCCAGAACAGCCAGAACACACCGCCACTCTGTGGCCGTGTGGATTGATTATCTATTCTAATAGGTTGTTTCCCGTAATTACCTTGCCTTATGAGCGGATCAAATTTCAGGGCCCCCCAACGTCAATTTTCGGAAAATATCTGTTCGGAAGACGATTTGAGATCTAGAATTTTCGGAACATTTGTTGTAACATTTCTTGCTTGCCTGCCTCTCCTAGGATTTTCGAACATCTAAAAAATGGAATAATTGTCCATTTTTACCAGAGTTTTACCCTTAAAAAGGTCACCTAGAATTTTCGAGAGCCTTTTTTCTGGCTGAAATTTTCGAAAAGTTAAGTTTTGATCCCTATATTTTTCGGATCACTAGACTTTCAGCTAGGAAATCCGAACAGATAAAATATTTTTAGGGGATAAAAATATGCCTTTAGCTACCGTTTAAATAGAAGATACGTTTAACAATGCTATGTTTAAGTGGTTTTGAACTATATCCTCGTTGGGTGCCCCTGAAATTTAGCCCACGACTGTCTTCATACTCGAAGTGATAGATATTCTTCGGTAATAAACTAGAGCCTAACTGCCGATTCTGCTCTTTGATTTTGAAGCGGTAGCCCGTCTAATTTTTATCTCGTTTAGCTTGTCAACTCAAAAGGACAGACAATTATTTTGACGACGACACCGCTATGTAAACTCAAGGTGACTCTTAGAGTGGCATCTTTTAGAATTCAACAAGTTTTGAACCGCGCCCTCCGGCCAGGTTGGTCTTCGTACAGGGCGCCCACGCTCTTATTTGTCAACTGCAAATGGAAGTTAAATAAGCGATAAAATCTTACCTGTTTTTTTCTATCCTTGAATCTGCTGTGGTGCAAAGTGAAGTGGAAGTTGTTTTACGATGCGAAAACTATGTTTAAGTCATTACGCCTTAACAGCTCTCATTTCACTGTTGGTGTCACGCGCCGGTTGTTATTATCGTGTCGAGTTTCATCGTTGGTTATTAATTTAATAACAATTCTAGAGAGAGTTTTTAAGGAACGGACCATTAACTAATTCAAATTGTTAATAAATTTTAAATAACCAACGATGAAACGCGAGACGATAATAAAAACGGGCGCGTGATCACATGAAGCCTTGTGAAATCAAAAGCGTCGACTTGAACATAGTTTTCGCGTCGTAACACAACTTCCAATTCACTTCGCACCACAGCAGATTCAAGAATAGAACAAAACAGGTAAGATTTTATCTCTTATTTAATTTCCATTATAACATAGCTAGAAAATTCGCCTAATCAAATTCAATAGCGCGAGCGTGCTTCATATTCCTATTGAGCACGCTGATGACGTCAATAAACTATTCGTAATTCCTCGAGTGGTTGTGAGCTTAGCAATCCTGAGTCTCCTGAGTTCATCCATAACTCAGCAATAGACAAGGAAGCGTTTACGATGTGTTTTATAAGGAAATTTAAGAGGAAACGTTTGAATTTGTTAACCAATAGTAAGGAAAAGAGGTGAGTGTTGTTGTTGTTGTTGTTGTCATCTCCGCGAGCTGTGCGGGCTATGGCGTGAGTTCATTCTTTGCAAACTTGTTTTCTCTCAATAACAATTTTTCGGTAAATTAATAGTTTTCCGGCACCTAAATATGGATTTTATAATCATTTTAGAGTACACTTTCTCTCAGTTTCAGGATAAAAACATAAGATTAACTGTGAGGAAAAAAATATATAGTCACGTAAACATTGACGCGTACTGCTTTGAGCGCACCCTACAATAATAAAATTATAAGTTATCTGATGCATTGATCGCTTTGATGATGTTATAAAACAATTAGTTCATGCTGCAGCTGTGCGTATGTCGAGTTATTGAGCACTTGGGAAGTTTGGAGAGCACTCAAGAGGCTAGAGTTGCACTCGGCTGCGCCTCGTGCAACTCTTACGCCTCTTTCGTGCTCTCCAAACTTCCCGCGTGCTCAATATCTCGACATACGCACGCTGACGCATGAACTAATTGTTAATTTGCAATTTACAAATAAGAGCGTGGGTTCCCTGTCTCCCGCAAAGAATTGAATTACAACTTTACCTCAAATTTCAAGTGGATGCCTCAGGGCCGGTCCATGTGCTAGCCTCCCACGCAGGCGTTTCTTGGGGGGCTAGTTTTTCACCCCTCCCCACAAACGCCTACTCAACCGGAGACATCATTCCTTTCCCCACAGGGCACCCACACTGTTATTTTATAGTAAATTAGACTACGAGCAGTCTCTCTTTTTCTTAAGATTTAGTAAGAAGAGTGCACGCGCGCGCAAGCGTTGAACGGCGAAGCCGCGAGACGCGATTGCGTGTCTCGGGCGTTTTGCGCGACGCATCAAGAAAAAAGAGAGACTGCTCGTAATCTAATAGTAAATGTACTGGATTTACCGTTTGCCTCACCTCACCTATACCGATATGTCGCTAACTATGTATATAAATCAATGATGAATAAACGTTGAATTTCCTCACCTGTGGTATATAGTCGTTCTTTTGCCTCAAAAGCGGTTTTTTGAGCCATTATTTTGAAGGAGAGGTAGCCCAAGCTCGAAATATGAGCATCGGCGAGCATCGGCATTGTTGCGTATAACATTCGAAATATAAGGATTTGTTTGGGGAAAAAACCTATCGTTTCTGCAACTTACGAAAATGAAAGGATTTCAATCAAAAACAGCTTACCTTACATAAAATGTGCGTTACGTCTTTATATAGAGAGAAAACACGGTTTACATAAAAAACCATAAAACGGCCATAAATCGGCCCGTGTACCACACAGGAGAGATGTAACACATGTTACATAATTGCTGCCGCAAACATGTTGTGCGAAAATAGTCAGTAATAACAGGTCCTAAAGAACAGTTCAAAGTATATCTTCTCCGTAATGTTTAAGCTATATCTTTCATTGGCAGTGGTGTCTCTATTCAAGGTACATCTAAAAATTTATTTATGAAATGTAAATGTTTTGGAAAAGCAGCTTGAAAACGTACAGTTTTCCTGTCCAAAAGAAATTGCGAAATTTTTCGAAACGGATAACTTCCAGACATGATTATTCCAGTTTTAAATACGGATGTCACTCCAGCTGTACAACTAATGATTACTATCTCGTACATTGCACTTGTTTATGGGCTCTCTGTTGAAATAATTGGGGACCATCCATTTGGCCGTGAATTGAATACACCATATGTGTTTGAGGAAAAGGGAAGCTGGTCGCACCCTGCTGCAAACGTGGCAGCTGACTGCTTTACAAATAGAGCTGACCCCGGGGACTGCCGGGAAAGGAATGGCGTACACATTGCATTGGCTGTGTTTTGTATTCATACCTTTAATTTCCAATTTCTCACCTTAAACTTTACATCGCTAACAATCCATTGTACGAATAAAATTCACGAAATAAGATAAAAGAAACCACCTAACAAGAAATTCACTCGATTTTTAAAGTTAAATTAACTTTACTAAACACATTTGCTTTTGGGGGTTTTTAAACTTAAGGAAATACCATTATTAGGGACCTTATACATATAAGATACTCCATTTCAGCCTACCGGTACGGGTAAGCGAACATGTTTACCTTGTAGTTTATGAAAGGGAACCGGTATTTACCAGATGTGATAATGGCGTAACCATTCTACCTGGTAACCCACCCGTTTCTTGCGGGTAAAAGTGACCCGTGCTTACGGCTACGACGAGTACGGCTAATTTACCCGTACCCGTATATGAAAACTGTATATCTTAAGGTCTATAATGTCTCGTGATACCTCGGTGGAGCTCAAAAATGTTTGTTTGCTATCTAAAAAATACTGAAAAAGGTGCTACTTCAAATCAGCCGGTGACATAGCTAAATTGAAATACTGCAATTGCAAAAAAGAAGAATGTTTTTCTCCATAATATTCCAACCCGAGCCGAAATTTGGACCGTAAGTGTAAATATCGAAATCAAAAACAAAAGTGTTCTTTCCTCATTTTTCTCAGTGGTCTGCTGATCATGAGTATTAACCACTCGATTTTTCTTGAGCAAAGGGTACAGGATTGACTCGAACCTGAGCCCTCTTTTGTAGGTGGAGGATTTTCAAAAAGGCTTTTCTGAATTGTGGAAGACGCCAGGCGTACAAATAGGGGTTGACGGCCGAATTTAAGGACACAATTAATACCTGAATATCTCTTAACCAATGTACCAGCAGACAATTACAGCTTAAACAGAAATTAAGCAGGTAAATTATCACACAGGCAGGTACAAAGCATACAAGAAAAGCAATAAGAACACTCGATAACGCCTTTGTTACTTTTCGTTTTTTCTTTATCTTTTTTATGTTTTTCGTGTATTTCTGTTTTGCTGTTACTGTGTTTTCAATTGCTTTCTGGTTTTGCCAAAATTTTGATCGCTCACGTAGGATTTTGAGAGTGGCTCTATGAACAAACAGGAGAATGATAATAGTGCTAAAAACAGCAGTGTTGACAAAAATAAAAGAGTACAGAAAAAAACCGAGCTCAAAGTATAAGAAGGACAAGCCTAACGAGGCTACCCAGATCGACACTGAGGTAATGATGGCGTGTTTAGACGAAACCTTCGTCTTGTATTTGATTGGTGATGTTACCGAGACATACCTATCCGCGGTAAGTGCTGCCAGAATTAAGACTGATGCCGTACCCAGAGTGAAATAAAACATATGCGAGGTCCGTATGATATCAACGATATTTACCATACCACGTGCCTCGCTTATGGCATATGCTGTTAATGTGGGGTTTACTAATAATCCCACAAGTAAATCTGTCCCGGATAAGCTCAGCAAAAAGTAATGGAAAGGCTTTTTCATATTTTTGAATGGATCCCGTACAATGGCTAAACAAACGAGGACGTTTCCAGTAACGGTTATAAAGCAGAAAACGCTTGCAAGGGAAGCGGCAAGATACGAAAGGCCTGTGTACTGATGAGTGCTGGCACAAAGTTTTGGATCAGAGAATGCCATCTTCAGATAAAAAACTTTTTGACATCCAGATAAGACTTTCACAGAACGTTTTACACTGGTACAGTAAGCGCACTTAGCTGTCTACATACTAGTCATGATATTCTATATATTTTCACTTCAATTCTTCAGAGCAGTTTTCGCTTTGTTCCGCGTATTTTAAAAATGGTTGTTTTTTATCCGTGTCTTACTTTGAGAAATCTTTTTCTCTCGTGACATGGATCATTGAACATATCTCTGCTTCCACAGTGTGTTACTTATTTCTCTCTTGTGTGAGTAAACGCGGGAAATTTTGCTTCGCCTCAATAATACCACTGAAAACTAATTATACTTTTGCTCCATTTTCCTGAGTCCTGGAATTCTTCTTTGACGATCATGACAAAAGAACGTTGAGACTCCGCTTTCGCTGAGTTGCCAGAGGGAAGAAAAAAAACTCAGATTTCCAATTCCTTCTTGACATGAAAAGTAGTCTCCCTCTGTCGCTGTTACTGTAACACTGTTCGAACTGTGAAGAAATAAAGCGGAAAATCAAGGCCTCTTTCTTATCCTCCTGCTGGCTTTTTTCTCGTTTGAAGGACTAAATACTTTATCCATTCAATAACAAAAGGCAACCAAACACCTGTTTAACTAGTAATATCTTGCCTTTTTGGTCTTAAATAAATGAAGTGTCTTAGTGAACTTTCGTTATATTCATGTTCTTTGTCACAAGATCAGCAGAAACATTACGCCGTATCTTACTAAGAATGCTGAAGGGAATAATCGAACCTAGTAGCCATTTAGGACTAGTCATTAAGAGTCAGTACAAAGAATCTCTGTATTCAACATAAAATTGAGAAATGTTAAATTTTCTTGGTTTTAATAATAGTTTGTATCATGCTGATGAATGACTAGTACCTTTGTTTAATTTTGCTTTCTTTCTTGAACTAGCCTTGCTCCCGAGCTTCTTTCAATAAGGATCGCCAGGTATCTTCGTTTCAGAACAAGTACGAAAGTTAAAATCCAGTGAATAGACTGAATTGACGTTAAAAACAACGTGTTTATTCCTTGCTTTGCAATAAACTATTCACACGTTTTTGAAATTAAATAGATGTCACAAATTTTGATAGAAGAAGCTGTCACACCAATCGGTAAAAAATATTCAGGTTTACCAAGTTTGAAGACATTCATTAAAAAATGTGACAGCCTTATACATTGCGATTTGCGCAAAGGGTTATTACTGAAATTTAAGGTATACAAAGTGGCAAGGATGTTACAAATTAAGAGGCTGAAATTTATAACAAAGTGTAGACTACGTGACCCGGGGGCGAAAAGGGAGCACGAGGGAGTGATTACGATGAGGGGAAACCTAAAACTAAAACTTGAACCAAACGGAAATTTACAGCCACCAGCGGCCGCAGAAACGAAGGAAAAGGTGGTTCTTACATATCAGGCGTCCCTTTTCCTCTTTTTCACCCCCCGCCCCCCCCGTTTATTTATTATCGATTCATATACATAGTTAGCGATATATCGGTATAGGTGAGGCAAACGGTAAACAAACGGTAAATGGAACACGAACCTAAATTGATCCAGCGTTCTCCAACAAGAAGCAAGGCTCGCTCCAGGTAAGGTTATCCAAGACAGGTGAGAGTTGTCATTTGGCAGCCATAATTACATAATTGCTGCCGAAAACATGTTGTGGGAAAATATTCAGTAATAACAGGTCCAAAGAACAGTTCAAAGTATATCTTCTCCGTAATGTTTAGGCTGTTGCTGGTTTTCAGTGTCACGCCATTCAAAATAGATCAAAAAATAAAAATCAAAACAGTTCAATAGATAAAGTCCACAATCTGGGAAATGAAAGGAGGTACATATACAAAGACCCTCGCCAAGATTCAGGTCAGAGGAATATTTCGTATACGAGATATACGAAGAAATGTTTTACCCAAACTTATAGAGATTTTATGGAGACGCCATGCTGGTGCTCACCTGGATGAGCTCCATCATGGCGGACGGAAACCAACAGAAACATCTGTTACCGAGTTTTGCTACGAAAGCGTTAATTTATTCTTCGAGAAACTCATAAACATGAAAGTAGTACTTTTCTAATACATGAACTGTTTAAATCGCAAAATTTCCTGAAATAAGTCATTTTTTAACCTACATGACAGCTCTCTTGACCGTCTCTCTTGGCCGTCATGTAAATGCCACGTCACGCAAAAGCTTAGAAATTGAAGCGTTCTCTATCACAAAACCAAGAATCCTTTTGAAGCGAAAATTTGTATGAAAATCAGTTTTCAGCTGCTCTAATGCATCGTGAAAGTAAAATCCCGGTAGGATCGATATTTTTTTTAGTTTGAATTTTAGTGACGTCATGTGAAAACCAACGATATCTTTCATTGGCAGTGGTGTCTCTATTAAAGGTACGTCTAAAAATTTGTTAAATGTAAATGTTTTGGAAAAACAGCTCGAAAACTTACAGTTTTCCTGTTCAAAAAAAATTGTGAAATTTTTCGAAACGGATAACTTCCAGACATGATCATTCCAGTTTTAAATATGGATGTCACCCCAGCTGCACAACTCATGATTACTATTTCGTACATTGCACTTGTTTATGGGCGCTCTGTTGAAATAATTGGGGACCATCCATTTGGCCGTGAATTGAATACACCATATGTGTTTGAGGAAAAGGGAAGCTGGTCGCACCCTGCTGCAAACGTGGCAGCTGCTGACTGCTTTACAAATAGAGCTGACCCCGGGGACTGCCGGGAAAGGAATGGCGTACACATCGCATCGGCTCTGTTTTGTATTAATACCTTTAATTTCCAATTTCTCACTTTAAACTTTACATCGCTAACAATCCATTGTATGAATAAAATTCACGAAATAAGATAAAAGAAACCACCTAACAAGAAATTCACTCGATTTTTAAAGTTAAATTAACTTTACTAAACACATTTGCTTTTGGGGGTTTTTAAACTTAAGGAAATACCATTATTAGGGACCTTATTTATATAAGATACTCCATTTCAGCCTACCGGTAAGGGTAAGCGAACATGTTTACCTTGTAGTATTATGAAAGGGAACCGGTATTTACCAGATGTGATAATGGCGTAACCATTCTACCTGGTAACCCATCCGTTTCTTGCGGGTAAAAGTGACCCGTGCTTACGGCTACGACGAGTACGGCTAATTTACCCGTACCCGTATATGAAAACTGTACATCTTAAGGTCTATAATGCCTCATGATACCTCGGTGGAGCTCAAAAATGTTTGTTTGCTATCTAAAAAATACTGAAAAAGGTGCTACTTAAAATCAGCCGGTGACATAGCTAAATTGAAATACTGCAATTGCAAAAAAGAAGAATGTTTTTCTCCATAATATTCCAACCGAAACCGAAATTTGGACCGTATGTGTAAATATCGAAATCAAAAACAAAAGTGTTCTTTCCTCATTTTTCTCGGTGGTCTGCCGATTATGAGTATTAACCACTCGATTTTTCTTGAGCAAAGGGTGCAGGATTGACTCGAACCTGAGCCCTCTTTTGTAGGTGGAGGACTTTCAAAAAGGCTTTTCTGAATTGTGGAAGACGCCAGGCGTACAAATAGGGGTTGACGGCCGAATTTAAGGACACAATTAATACCTGAATATCTCTTAACCAATGTACCAGCAGACAATTACAGCTTAAACAGAAATTAAGCAGGTAAATTATCACACAGGCAGGTACAAAGGATACAAGAAAAGCAATAAGAACACTCGATAACGCCTTTGTTACTTTTCGTTTTTTCTTTATCTTTTTTATGTTTTTCGTGTATTTCTGTTTGGCTGTTACTGTGTTTTCAATTGCTCTCTGACCTTGCCAAAATTTTGATCGTTCACGTAGGATTTTGAGAGTGGCTCTATGAACAAACAGGAGAATGATAATAGTGCTAAAAACAGCAGTGTTGACAAAAATAAAAGAGTACAGAAAAAAACCGAGCTCAAAGTATAAGAAGGACAAGCCTAACGAGGCTACCCAGATCGACACTGAGGTAACGATGGCGTGTTTAGACGAAACCTTCGTCTTGTATTTGATTGGTGATGTTACCGAGACATACCTATGCGAGGTAAGTGCTGCCAGAGTTAAGATTGATGCCGTACCCAGAATGAAATAAAATATATGCAAGGTCCATATGATATCAACGATATTTACCATACCACGTGCCTCGCTTATGGCATATGCTGTTACTGTGGGGTTTACTAATAATCCCACAAGTAAATCTGTCCCGGATAAGCTCAGCAAAAAGTAATGGAAAGGCTTTTTCATATTTTTGAATGGATCTCGTACAATGGCTAAACAAACAAGGACGTTTCCAGTAACGGTTATAAAGCAGAAAACGCTTGCAAGGGAAGCGGCAAGATACGAAAGGCCTGTGTACTGATGAGTGCTGGCACAAAGTTTTGGATCAGAGAATGCCATCTTCAGATAAAAAACGTTTTGACATCCAGATAAGACTTTCACAGAACGTTTTACACTGTTACAGTAAGTGCACTTAGCTGTCTACATACCAGTCATGATATTCTATATATTTTCACTTCAATTCTTCAGGGCAGTTTTCGCTTTGTTCCGCGTCTTTTAAAAATGGTTTATTTTATCCGTGTCTTACTTTGAGAAATCTTTTTCTCTCGTGACATGGATGGTTGAACATATCTCGGATTCCACAGTGTGTTACTTGTATTTCCCTTGTGTGAGTAACCGGGAAATTTTGCTTCGCCTCAATAATACCACTGAAAACTAATTAATCTTTTGCTCCATTTTCCCGAGTCCTGGAATTCTTCTTTGACGCGATCATGATAAAAGAACGTTGAGACTCCGCTTTCACTGAGTTGCCAGAGGGAAGTAACAAAACTCAGATTTCCAATTCCTTCTTGACATGAAAAGTAGTCTCCCTCTGTCGTCGCTGTTACTGTAACACTGTTCGAACTGTGAAGAAATAAAGCGGAAAATCAAGGCCTCTTTCTTTTCCTCCTGCTGGCTTTTTTCTCGTTTGAAGGACTAAATACTTTATCCATTCAATAACAAAAGGCAACCAAACACCTGTTTAACTAGTAATATCTTGCCTTTTTGGTCTTAAATACATGAAGTGTCTTTGTGAACTTTCGTTATATTCATGTTCTTTGTCACAAGATCAGCAGAAACATTACGCTGTATCTTACTAAGAATGCTGAAGGGAATAATCGAACCTAGTAGTCATATAGGACTAGTCATTAAGAGTCAGCATAAAGAATCTCTGTATTCAACATAAAATTGAGAAATGTTAAATTTTCTTGGTTTTAATAATAGTTTGTATCATGCTGATGAATAACTAGTACCTTTGTTTAATTTTGCTTTCTTTCTTGAACTAGCCTTGCTCCCAAGCTTCTTTCAATAAGGATCGCCAGGTATCTTCGTTTCAGAACAAGTACGAAAGTTAAAATCCAGTGAATAGACTGAATTGACGTTAAAAACAACTTGTTTATTCCTTGCTTTGCAATAAACTATTCACACGTTTTTGAAATTAAATAGATGTCACAAATTTTGATAGAAGAAGCTGTCACACCTATCGGTAAAAAATATTCAGGTTTACCAAGTTTGAAGACATTCATTAAAAAATGTGACAGCCTTATACATTGCGATTTGCGCAAAGGGTTATTACTGAAATTTAAGGTATACAAAGTGGCAAGGATGTTACAAATTAAGAGGCTGAAATTTATAACAAAGTGTAGACTACGTGACCCGGGGGCGAAAAGGGAGCACGAGGGAGTGATTACGATGAGGGGAAACCTAAAACTAAAACTGGAACCAAACGGAAATTTACAGCCACCAGCGGCCGCAGAAACGAAGGAAAAGGTGGTTCTTACACATCAGGCGTCCCTTTTCCTCTTTTTCACCCCCCCCCCCGTTTATTTATCATTGATTCATATACATAGTTAGCGATATATCGGTATAGGTGACTCAAACGGTAAACAAACGGTAAATGGAACACGAACCTAAATTGATCCAGCGTTCTCCAACAAGAAGCAAGGCTCCCTCCAGGTAAGGTTATCCAAGACAGGTGAGAGTTGTCATTTGGCAGCCATAATTACATAATTGCTGCCGAAAACATGTTGTGGGAAAATATTCAGTAATAACAGGTCCAAAGAACAGTTCAAAGTATATCTTCTCCGTAATGTTTAGGCTATTGCTGGTTTTCAGTGTCACGCCATTCAAAATAGATCAAAAAATAAAAATCAAAACAGTTCAATAGACAAAGTCCACAATCTGGGAAATGAAAGGAGGTACATATACAAAGACCCTCGCCAAGATTCAGGTCAGAGGAATATTTCGTATACGAGATATACGAAGAAATGTTTTACCCAAACTTATAGAGATTTTATGGAGACGCCATGCTGGTGCTCACCTGGATGAGCTCCAACATGGCGGACGGAAACCAACAGAAACATCTGTTACCGAGTTTTGCTACAAAAGCGTTAATTTATTCTTCGAGAAACTCATAAACATGAAAGTAGTACTTTTCTAATACATGAACTGTTTAAATCGCAAAATTTCCTGAAATAAGTCATTTTTTAACCTACATGACAGCTCTCTTGACCGTCTCTCTTGGCCGTCATGTAAATGCCACGTCACGCAAAAGCTTAGAAATTGAAGCGTTCTCTATCACAAAACCAAGAATCCTTTTGAAGCGAAAATTTGTATGAAAATCAGTTTTCAGCTGCTCTAATGCATAGTGAAAGTAAAATCCCGGTAGGATCGATATTTTTTTAGTTTGAATTTTAGTGACGTCATGTGAAAACCAACGATATCTTTCATTGGCAGTGGTGTCTCTATTAAAGGTACATCTAAATATTTGTTAAATGTAAATGTTTTGGAAAAACAGCTCGAAAACTTACAGTTTTCCTGTTCAAAAGAAATTGTGAAATTTTTCGAAACGGAAAACTTCCAGACATGATCATTCCAGTTTTAAATATGGATGTCACTCCAGCTGCACAACTCATGATTACTATTTCGTACATTGCACTTGTTTATGGGCGCTCTGTTGAAATAATTGGGGACCATCCATTTGGCCGTGAATTGAATACACCATATGTGTTTGAGGAAAAGGGAAGCTGGTCGCACCCTGCTGCAAACGTGGCAGCTGCTGACTGCTTTACAAATAGAGCTGACCCGGGGACTGCCGGGAAAGGAATGGCGTACACATCGCATCGGCTCTGTTTTGTATTAATACCTTTAATTTCCAATTACTCAGTTTAAACTTTACATCGCTAACAATCCATTGTACGAAATAAGATAAAAGAAACCACCCAACAAGAAATTCACTAGATTTTTCTAGTTAAATTAACTTAAACTACTACGCACATTTGGTTTGGGGATTTTAAACGTAAGGAAATACCTTAATTAGTGACCTTAAGATACACCATTTCAGCCTACGGGTACGGGTAAGAGAAGATGTTTACCTCGTAGTTTTATGAAAGGCAACCATTATTTACCAGATGTGATAATGGCGTAACCATTCTACCAGGTAACCTACCCGTTTCTTGCGGGTAAGATGCAGTTTACCCGTGCTTACGGCTACGTGTACGGCTAATTTACCCGTACCCGTACCCGAAAACGGTATATCTTAAGGTCTGTAATGTCTCGTGATACCGCAGTGGAGCTCAAAAAGCAAATGACATTCTTGAAACTATATTTGTTTGCTATGATGAAATACTGAAAAAAAGCGCTACTTAAAATCAGCCAGTGACATAGCTAAATTGAAATACTGCAATTGCAAAAAGGAAGAATATTTTTCGCCATAATATTCCAAGCCAAACCGAAATTTGGACCGTAAGTGTAAATATCGAAATCAAAAACAAAAGTGTTGTTTTCTCATTTTTCTCAGTGGTCTGCTGATCATGAGTATTGAAGTATCAACAACTCGATTTTTCTGGAGTAAAGGGTACAGGATTGACTCGAACCTGAGCCCTCTTTTGTAGGTGGAGGATTTTCAAAAAAGCTTTTCTGAATTGTGGAAGTCGCCGGGCGTACAAATAAGGGTTGACAGCAGAATTTAAGGACACAATTAATACCTGAATATCTCTTAACCAATGTACCAGCAGACAATTACAGCTTAAACAGAAATTAAGCAAGTAAATTATCACACAGGCAGGTACAAAGGATACAAGAAAAGCAATAAGAACACTCGATAACGCCTTTGTTACTTTTCGTTTTTTCTTTATCTTTTTTATGTTTTTCGTGTATTTCTGTTTGGCTGTTACTGTGTTTTCAATTGCTCTCTGGTTTTGCCAAAATTTTGATCGCTCACGTAGGATTTTGAGAGTGGCTCTATGAACAAACAGGAGAATGATAATAGTGCTAAAAACAGCAGTGTTGACAAAAATAAAAGAGTACAGAAAAAAACCGAGCTCAAAGTATAAGAAGGACAAGCCTAACGAGGCTACCCAGATCGACACTGAGGTAACGATGGCGTGTTTAGACGAAACCTTCGTCTTGTATTTGATTGGTGATGTTACCGAGACATACCTATCCGCGGTAAGTGCTGCCAGAGTTAAGATTGATGCCGTACCCAGAATGAAATAAAATATATGCAAGGTCCATATGATATCAACGATATTTACCATACCACGTGCCTCGCTTATGGCATATGCTGTTACTGTGGGGTTTACTAATAATCCCACAAGTAAATCTGTCCCGGATAAGCTCAGCAAAAAGTAATGGAAAGGCTTTTGCATATTTTTGAATGGATCCCGTACAATGGCTAAACAAACGAGGACGTTTCCAGTAACGGTTATAAAGCAGAAAACGCTTGCAAGGGAAGCGGCAAAATACGAAAGACCTGTGTACTGATGAGTGCTCGCACAAAGTTTTGGATCAGAGAATGCCATCTTCAGATAAAGAACGTTTTGACATCCAGATAAGACTTTCACAGAACGTTTTACACTGTTACAGTAAGTGCACTTAGCTGTCTACATACCAGTCATGATATTCTATATATTTTCACTTCAATTCTTCAGGGCAGTTTTCGCTTTGTTCCGCGTCTTTTAAAAATGGTTTATTTTATCCCTGTCTTACTTTGAGAAATCTTTTTCTCTCGTGACATGGATGGTTGAACATATCTCGGATTCCACAGTGTGTTACTTGTATTTCCCTTGTGTGAGTAACCGGGAAATTTTGCTTCGCCTCAATAATACCACTGAAAACTAATTAATCTTTTGCTCCATTTTCCCGAGTCCTGGAATTCTTCTTTGACGCGATCATGATAAAAGAACGTTGAGACTCCGCTTTCACTGAGTTGCCAGAGGGAAGTAACAAAACTCAGATTTCCAATTCCTTCTTGACATGAAAAGTAGTCTCCCTCTGTCGTCGCTGTTACTGTAACACTGTTCGAACTGTGAAGAAATAAAGCGGAAAATCAAGGCCTCTTTCTTTTCCTCCTGCTGGCTTTTTTCTCGTTTGAAGGACCAAATACTTTATCCATTCAATAACAAAAGGCAACCAAACACCTGTTTAACTAGTAATATCTTGCCTTTTTGGTCTTAAATAAATGAAGTGTCTTTGTGAACTTTCGTTATATTCATGTTCTTTGTCACAAGATCAGCAGAAACATTACGCTGTATCTTACTAAGAATGCTGAAGGGAATAATCGAACCTAGTAGTCATATAGGACTAGTCATTAAGAGTCAGCATAAAGAATCTCTGTATTCAACATAAAATTGAGAAATGTTAAATTTTCTTGGTTTTAATAATAGTTTGTATCATGCTGATGAATAACTAGTACCTTTGTTTAATTTTGTTTTCTTTCTTGAACTAGCCTTGCTCCCAAGCTTCTTTCAATAAGGATCGCCAGGTATCTTCGTTTCAGAACAAGTACGAAAGTTAAAATCCAGTGAATAGACTGAATTGACGTTAAAAACAACTTGTTTATTCCTTGCTTTGCAATAAACTATTCACACGTTTTTGAAATTAAATAGATGTCACAAATTTTGATAGAAGAAGCTGTCACACCAATCGGTAAAAAATATTCAGGTTTACCAAGTTTGAAGACATTCATTAAAAAATGTGACAGCCTTATACATTGCGATTTGCGCAAAGGGTTATTACTGAAATTTAAGGTATACAAAGTGGCAAGGATGTTACAAATTAAGAGGCTGAAATTTATAACAAAGTGTAGACTACGTGACCCGGGGGCGAAAAGGGAGCACGAGGGAGTGATTACGATGAGGGGAAACCTAAAACTAAAACTGGAACCAAACGGAAATTTACAGCCACCAGCGGCCGCAGAAACGAAGGAAAAGGTGGTTCTTACACATCAGGCGTCCCTTTTCCTCTTTTTTTCACCCCTGCCCCCCCCCGTTTATTTATCATTGATTCATATACATAGTTAGCGATATATCGGTATAGGTGACGCAAACGGTAAACAAACGGTAAATGGAACACGAACCTAAATTGATCCAGCGTTCTCCAACAAGAAGCAATGCTCGCTCCAGGTAAGGTTATCCAAGACAGGTGAGTGTTGTCATTTGGCAGCCATAATTACATAATTGCTGCCGAAAACATGTTGTGGGAAAATATTCAGTAATAACAGGTCCAAAGAACAGTTCAAAGTATATCTTCTCCGTAATGTTTAGGCTATTGCTGGTTTTCAGTGTCACGGCATTCAAAATAGATCAAAATAAAAATCAAAACAGTTCAATAGATAGAGTCCAGAATCTGGGAAATAAAAGGAGGTACATATACAAAGACCCTCGCCAAGATTCAGGTCAGAGGAATATTTCGTATGCGAGATATCCGAAGAAATGTTTTACCCAAACTTATAGAGATTTGTATGGAGACGCCATGCTGGTGCTCACCTGGATAAGCTCCAACATGGCGGTTGGAAACCAACAGAAACATCTGTTACCGAGTTTTGCTACAAAAGCGTGAATTTATTCTTCGAGAAACTCATACACCAATGAAAGTAGTACTTTTTCTACTACATGAACTGTTTAAATAGCAAAATTTCCTGAAATAAGTCATTTTTCAACCTACATGACAGCTCTCTTGACCGTCTCTCTTGGCCGTCATGTAAATGCCACGTCACGCAAAAGCTTAGAAATTGAAGCGTTCTCTATCACAAAACCAAGAATCCTTTTGAAGCGAAAATTTGTATGAAAATCAGTTTTCAGCTGCTCTAATGCATCGTGAAAGTAAAATCCCGGTAGGATCGATATTTTTTTAGTTTGAATTTTAGTGACGTCATGTGAAAACCAACGATATCTTTCATTGGCAGTGGTGTCTCTATTAAAGGTACATCTAAATATTTGTTAAATGTAAATGTTTTGGAAAAACAGCTCGAAAACTTACAGTTTTCCTGTTCAAAAGAAATTGTGAAATTTTTCGAAACGGAAAACTTCCAGACATGATCATTCCAGTTTTAAATATGGATGTCACTCCAGCTGCACAACTCATGATTGCTATTTCGTACATTGCACTTGTTTATGGGCGCTCTGTTGGAATAATTGGGGACCATCCATTTGGCCGTGAATTGAATACACCATATGTGATTGAGGAAAAGGGAAGCTGGTCGCACCCTGCTGCAAACGTGGCAGCTGCTGACTGCTTTACAAATAGAGCTGACCCCGGGGACTGCCGGGAAAGGAATGGCGTACACATCGCATCGGCTCTGTTTTGTATTAATACCTTTAATTTCCAATTACTCAGTTTAAACTTTACATCGCTAACAATCCATTGTACGAAATAAGATAAAAGAAACCACCCAACAAGAAATTCACTAGATTTTTCTAGTTAAATTAACTTAAACTACTACGCACATTTGGTTTGGGGATTTTAAACGTAAGGAAATACCTTAATTAGTGACCTTAAGATACACCATTTCAGCCTACGGGTACGGGTAAGAGAAGATGTTTACCTCGTAGTTTTATGAAAGGCAACCATTATTTACCAGATGTGATAATGGCGTAACCATTCTACCAGGTAACCTACCCGTTTCTTGCGGGTAAGATGCAGTTTACCCGTGCTTACGGCTACGTGTACGGCTAATTTACCCGTACCCGTACCCGAAAACGGTATATCTTAAGGTCTGTAATGTCTCGTGATACCGCAGTGGAGCTCAAAAAGCAAATGACATTCTTGAAACTATATTTGTTTGCTATGATGAAATACTGAAAAAAAGCGCTACTTAAAATCAGCCAGTGACATAGCTAAATTGAAATACTGCAATTGCAAAAAGGAAGAATATTTTTCGCCATAATATTCCAACCCAAACCGAAATTTGGACCGTAAGTGTAAATATCGAAATCAAAAACAAAAGTGTTGTTTTCTCATTTTTCTCAGTGGTCTGCTGATCATGAGTATTGAAGTATCAACAACTCGATTTTTCTTGAGTAAAGGGTACAGGATTGACTCGAACCTGAGCCCTCTTTTGTAGGTGGAGGATTTTCAAAAAAGCTTTTCTGAATTGTGGAAGTCGCCAGGCGTACAAATAAGGGTTGACAGCAGAATTTAAGGACACAATTAATACCTGAATATCTCTTAACCAATGTACCAGCAGACAATTACAGCTTAAACAGAAATTAAGCAAGTAAATTATCACACAGACAGGTACAAAGGATACAAGAAAAGCAATAAGGACACTTGATAACGCCTTTGTTACTTTTCGTTTTTTCTTTATCTTTTTTATGTTTTTCGTGTATTTCTGTTTTGCTGTTACTGTGTTTTCAATTGCTTTCTGGTTTTGCCAAAATTTTGATCGCTCACGTAGGATTTTGAGAGTGGCTCTATGAACAAACAGGAGAATGATAATAGTGCTAAAAACAGCAGTGTTGACAAAATTAAAAGAGTACAGAAAAAAACCGAGCTCAAAGTATAAGAAGGACAAGCCTAACGAGGCTACCCAGATCGACACTGAGGTAACGATGGCGTGTTTAGACGAAACCTTCGTCTTGTATTTGATTGGTGATGTTACCGAGACATACCTATCCGCGGTAAGTGCTGCCAGAGTTAAGATTGATGCCGTACCCAGAATGAAATAAAATATATGCAAGGTCGATATCATATCAACGATATTTACCATACCACGTGCCTCGCTTATGGCATATGCTGTTAATGTGGGGTTTACTAATAATCCCACAAGTAAATCTGTCCCGGATAAGCTCAGCAAAAAGTAATGGAAAGGCTTTTTCATATTTTTGAATGGATCCCGTACAATAGCTAAACAAACAAGGACGTTTCCAGTAACGGTTATAAAGCAGAAAACGCTTGCAAGGGAAGCGGCAAAATACGAAAGACCTGTGTACTGATGAGTGCTCGCACAAAGTTTTGGATCAGAGAATGCCATCTTCAGATAAAGAACGTTTTGACATCCAGATAAGACTTTCACAGCACGTTTTACACTGTTACAGTAAGTGCACTTAGCTGTCTACATACCAGTCATGATATTCTATATATTTTCACTTCAATTCTTCAGGGCAGTTTTCGCTTTGTTCCGCGTCTTTTAAAAATGGTTTATTTTATCCGTGTCTTACTTTGAGAAATCTTTTTCTCTCGTGACATGGATGGTTGAACATATCTCGGATTCCACAGTGTGTTACTTGTATTTCCCTTGTGTGAGTAACCGGGAAATTTTGCTTCGCCTCAATAATACCACTGAAAACTAATTAATCTTTTGCTCCATTTTCCCGAGTCCTGGAATTCTTCTTTGACGCGATCATGATAAAAGAACGTTGAGACTCTGCTTTCACTGAGTTGCCAGAGGGAAGTAACAAAACTCAGATTTCCAATTCCTTCTTGACATGAAAAGTAGTCTCCCTCTGTCGCTGTTACTGTAACACTGTTCGAACTGTGAAGAAATAAAGCGGAAAATCAAGGCCTCTTTCTTTTCCTCCTGCTGGCTTTTTTCTCGTTTGAAGGACCAAATACTTTATCCATTCAATAACAAAAGGCAACCAAACACCTGTTTAACTAGTAATATCTTGCCTTTTTGGTCTTAAATAAATGAAGTGTCTTTGTGAACTTTCGTTATATTCATGTTCTTTGTCACTGAGATCAGCAGAAACATTACGCTGTATCTTACTAAGAATGCTGAAGGAAATAATCGAACCTAGTAGTCATATAGGACTAGTCATTAAGAGTCAGCATAAAGAATCTCTGTATTCAACATAAAATTGAGAAATGTTAAATTTTCTTGGTTTTAATAATAGTTTGTATCATGCTGATGAATAACTAGTACCTTTGTTTAATTTTGCTTTCTTTCTTGAACTAGCCTTGCTCCCAAGCTTCTTTCAATAAGGGTCGCCAGGTATCTTCCTTTCAGAACAAGTACGAAAGTTAAAATCCAGTGAATAGACTGAATTGACGTTAAAAACAACGTGTTTATTCCTTGCTTTGCAATAAACTATTCACACGTTTTTTAAATTAAATAGATGTCACAAATTTTGATAGAAGAAGCTGTCACACCTATCGGTAAAAAATATTCAGGTTTACCAAGTTTGAAGACATTCATTAAAAAATGTGACAGCCTTATACATTGCGATTTGCGCAAAGGGTTATTACTGAAATTTAAGGTATACAAAGTGGCAAGGATGTTACAAATTAAGAGGCTGAAATTTATAACAAAGTGTAGACTACGTGACCCGGGGGCGAAAAGGGAGCACGAGGGAGTGATTACGATGAGGGGAAACCTAAAACTAAAACTGGAACCAAACGGAAATTTACAGCCACCAGCGGCCGCAGAAACGAAGGAAAAGGTGGTTCTTACATATCAGGCGTCCCTTTTCCTCTTTTTCAGCCCCCGTCCCCCCCCCCGTTTATTTATCATTGATTCATATACATAGTTAGCGATATATCGGTATAGGTGACTCAAACGGTAAACAAACGGTAAATGGAACACGAACCTAAATTGATCCAGCGTTCTCCAACAAGAAGCAAGGCTCCCTCCAGGTAAGGTTATCCAAGACAGGTGAGAGTTGTCATTTGGCAGCCATTATTACATAATTGCTGCCGAAAACATGTTGTGGGAAAATATTCAGTAATAACAGGTCCAAAGAACAGTTCAAAGTATATCTTCTCCGTAATGTTTAGGCTATTGCTGGTTTTCAGTGTCACGCCATTCAAAATAGATCAAAAAATAAAAATCAAAACAGTTCAATAGACAAAGTCCACAATCTGGGAAATGAAAGGAGGTACATATACAAAGACCCTCGCCAAGATTCAGGTCAGAGGAATATTTCGTATACGAGATATACGAAGAAATGTTTTACCCAAACTTATAGAGATTTTATGGAGACGCCATGCTGGTGCTCACCTGGATGAGCTCCAACATGGCGGACGGAAACCAACAGAAACATCTGTTACCGAGTTTTGCTACGAAAGCGTTAATTTATTCTTCGAGAAACTCATAAACATGAAAGTAGTACTTTTCTAATACATGAACTGTTTAAATAGCAAAATTTCCTGAAATAAGTCATTTTTTAACCTACATGACAGCTCTCTTGACCGTCTCTCTTGGCCGTCATGTAAATGCCGCGTCACGCAAAAGCTTAGAAATTGAAGCGTTCTCTATCACAAAACCAAGAATCCTTTTGAAGCGAAAATCTGTATGAAAATTAGTTTTCAGCTGCTCTAATGCATCGTGAAAGTAAAATCCCGGTAGGATCGATATTTTTTTAGTTTGAATTTTAGTGACGTCATGTGAAAACCAACGATATCTTTCATTGGCAGTGGTGTCTCTATTAAAGGTACATCTAAATATTTGTTAAATGTAAATGTTTTGGAAAAACAGCTCGAAAACTTACAGTTTTCCTGTTCAAAAGAAATTGTGAAATTTTTCGAAACGGATAACTTCCAGACATGATCATTCCAGTTTTAAATATGGATGTCACTCCAGCTGCACAACTCATGATTGCTATTTCGTACATTGCACTTGTTTATGGGCGCTCTGTTGAAATAATTGGGGACCATCCATTTGGCCGTGAATTGAATACATCATATGTGTTTGAGGAAAAGGCAAGCTGGTCGCACCCTGCTGCAAACGTGGCAGCTGACTGCTTTACAAATAGAGCTGACCCCGGGGACTGCCGGGAAAGGAATGGCGTACACATCGCATCGGCTCTGTTTTGTATTAATACCTTTAATTTCCAATTACTCAGTTTAAACTTTACATCGCTAACAATCCATTGTACGAAATAAGATAAAAGAAACCACCCAACAAGAAATTCACTAGATTTTTCTAGTTAAATTAACTTAAACTACTACACACATTTGGTTTGGGAATTTTAAACGTAAGGAAATACCTTTATTAGTGACCTTAAGATACACCATTTCAGCCTACAGGTACGGGTAAGCGAAGATGTTTACCTCGTAGTTTTATGAAAGGCAACCGTTATTTACCAGATGTGATAATGGCGTAAACACTCTACCAGGTAACCTACCCGTTTCTTGCGGGTAAGATGCAGTTTACCCGTGCTTACGGCTACGTGTACGGCTAATTTACCCGTACCCGTACCCGGAAACGGTATATCTTAAGGTCTGTAATGTCTCGTGATACCGCAGTGGAGCTCAAAAAGCAAATGACATCCTTGAAACTATATTTGCTTGCTGTCTAAGAAATACTGAAAAAAAGCGCTACTTAAAATCAGCCAGTGACATAGCTAAATTGAAATACTGCAATTGCAAAAAGGAAGAATATTTTTCGCCATAATATTCCAACCCAAACCGAAATTTGGACCGTAAGTGTAAATATCGAAATCAAAAACAAAAGTGTTGTTTTCTCATTTTTCTCAGTGGTCTGCTGATCATGAGTATTGAAGTATCAACAACTCGATTTTTCTTGAGTAAAGGGTACAGGATTGACTCGAACCTGAGCCCTCTTTTGTAGGTGGAGGAGTTTCAAAAAAGCTTTTCTGAATTGTGGAAGTCGCCAGGCGTACAAATAAGGGTTGACAGCAGAATTTAAGGACACAATTAACATCTGAATATCTCTTAACCAATGTACTAGCAGACAATCACAGCTTAAACAGAAATTAAGCAGGTAAATTATCACACAGGCAGGTACAAAGGATACAAGAAAAGCAATAAGAACACTCGATAACGCCTTTGTTACTTTTCGTTTTTTCTTTATCTTTTTTATGTTTTTCGTGTATTTCTGTTTGGCTGTTACTGTGTTTTCAATTGCTCTCTGGTTTTGCCAAAATTTTGATCGCTCACGTAGGATTTTGAGAGTGGCTCTATGAACAAACAGGAGAATGATAATAGTGCTAAAAACAGCAGTGTTGACAAAAATAAAAGAGTACAGAAAAAAACCGAGTTCAAAGTATAAACAGGACAAGCCTAACGAGGCTACCCAGATCGACACTGAGGTAATAATGGCGCGTTTAGACGAAACCGTCGTCTTGTATTTGATTGGTGATGTTACCGAGACATACCTATCCGCGGTAAGTGCTGCCAGAGTTAAGACTGATGCCGTACCCAGAATGAAATATAATATATGCGAGGTCGATATGATATCAACGATATTTACCATACCACGTGCTTCGGTTATGACATATGCTATTAATGTGGGGTTTACTAATAATCCCACAAGTAAATCTGTCCCGGATAAGCTCAGCAAAAAGTAATGGAAAGGCTTTTTCATATTTTTAAATGGATCCCGTACAATGGCTAAACAAACGAGGACGTTTCCAGTAACGGTTATAAAGCAGAAAACGCTTGCAAGGGATGCGGTAAAATACGAAAGGCCTTTGTACTGATGAGTGCTCGCACAAAATTTTGGATCAGAGAATGCCATCTTCAGATAAAACTTTTTGACGTCCAGATAAGACTTTCACAGAACGTTTTTCACTGTTACAGTAAGCGCACTTAGCTTTCTACATAGTAGTCATGATATTCTATATTTTCGATATATATTTTCACTTCAATTCTTCAGGGCAGTTTTCGCTTTGTTCTTCGTATTTTAAAAATGGTTTATTTTATCCGTGTCTTAATTTGAGAAATCTTTTTCTCTCGTGACATGGATCGTTGAACATATCTCTGCTTCCACTGTGTGTTACTTATTTTTCTCTTGTGTGAGTAATCGGGAAATTTTGCTTCGCCTCAATAATACCACTGAAAACTAATTACACTTTTGCTCCATTTTCCCGAGTCCTGGAATTCTTCTTTGACGATCATGACAAAAGAACGTTGAGACTCCGCTTTCGCTGAGTTACCAGAGGGAAGTAACGAAACTCAGATTTCCAATTCCTTCTTGACATGAAAAGTAGTCTCCCTCTGTCGCTGTTACTGTAACACTGTTCGAACTGTGAAGAAATAAAGCGGAAAATCAAGGCCTCTTTCTTTTCCTCCTGCCGGCATTTTCCTCGTCTGAAGGACTAAATACTTTATTCATTCAATAACGAAAGGCAACCAAACACCTGTTTAACTAGTAATATCTTGCCTTTTTGGTCTTAAATGAATGAAGTGTCTTTGTGAACTTTCGTTATATTTTTCTTTGTCACAAGATCAGCAGAAACATTACGCCGTATCTTACTAAGAATCACCTGAAGGGAATAATCGAGCCTAGTAGCCATTTAGGACTAGTCATTAAGAGTCAGTATAAAGAATCTCCGAGTCTATTCAACATTAAATTGAGAAATGTTAAATTTTCTTGGTTTTAATGATAGTTTGTATCATGCTGATGAATAACTAGTACCTTTGTTTATGCTTTCTTTCTTGAACTAGCCTTGCCCCCGAGCTTCTTTCAATAAGGGTCGCCAGGTATCGTCCTTTCAGAACAAGTACGAAAGGTAAAACCCAGTGTATAGACTGAATTGACGTTAAAAACAACGAGTTTATTCCTTGCTTTGCAATAAACTATTCAGACGTTTTTGAAATTAAATAGATGTCACAAATTTGATAGAAGAAGCTGTCACACCAATCGGTAAAAAATATTCAGGTTTACCAAGTTTGAAGACATTCATTAAAAAATGTGACAGCCTTATACATTACGATTTGCGCAAAGGGTTATTACTGAAATTTAAGGTATACAAAGTGGCAAGGATGTTACAAATTAAGAGGCTGAAATTTATAACAAAGTGTAGACTACGTGACCCGAGGGCGAAAAGGGAGCCCGAGGGAGTGATTACGATGAGGGAAAACCTAAAACTAAAACTTGAACCAAACGGAAATTTACAGCCACCAGCGGCCGCAGAAACGAAGGAAAGGTGGTTCTTATATATCAGGCGTCCCTTTTCCTCTTTTTCAACCCCCCCCCCCGCTTCCCATTTTCCCTGATAGTTAATTCCTCCCCGATTCCTTTCGATGCTTGTTCGCATTGCTGTTCTGATGAAGCCATGGCCAGAGAAAGTGGCATATATAAAGCACATATCAGGCATGGAGAAAGGGACTCCACTTCGTGAAGAAATTTCATCTTCGGGCTCAAAAAATGATGAAGAGGAGAGGATTGTAGGCTCTGAAACACTGTCAACATGCGAGCAGTCTCTGTTTTTCTTCAGATTTAGTGAGAGCCGTGCACGTGCGCGGGAGAGCGGCGCCTTCAGTCACGCTCGTGGCCATTTGCCTGTCTCGCGTTTTGCTCCACGGACTACAGACAGGGGCACCCAACGGGAAATTTTAAGAAAAAGGCCCAAAAACAGCAACAAAGCATGAATAAAGCTTTCTAAAGCTATTTTAAGCATGTTGGGAGTTTGCTGGGAAAAATTTATCTGTTCCTCACTGCCAGCAAGACTGACGGAAGAGTTCCCAGCCAGCAAGGTGCACCTACAACCGCTGCAAACTGATTTACCGGGAAGTTTCCCAACAAACGCATGCCCAGATAGTTAGGGTGTGGTCATAGGGCAAAATTCAACCCTTCAGTGGGGGGAAGGGGGTACTGATAAATTCCACATAGCAGGTATTCTAGACAACAAATTGTTGTCTAGAATATGAATAAATGTTGCTTTCCCAGCAACATTTTCCTTCCAACAAACACATCATTTTCACCAAAACTCCCAGCCAGTAAAAATTTACATGCAAAACAGATATTAGGAGGAACAGATCCATCGGGTGCCCCTGTACAGAAAAAAGAGAGACAGCTCGTAGTCTACGATATAAGTGACAGCTCTGTACTACATGCAGTGGTCACATCAACGTCAAGGTACGGCCGAATGAGAACACGGGTCGTCCGAGACTGTTATGTGCCATGGCAGAACAAGAAGAAAAAAGAAAGACAGAAAGAGTGAATGAATCTGATGAATGAACTGCAATAGAAGTGCGGTTTAACTGGAATCTTGAGTAATTACAAGTTCCTGTTCAATAGAAAAGACTGGTACGAATCTTTAGAATACGAAAAAAATGACATCAAAGTGGTAACTAACAACATTTACACTAACCACTGTGAAAAAAAGGCTTGGCTCTCCCTTAATACCTTTTAAGATAAGGGTTGACCCCCCAAAGGGTCCCATTTTTTTGGATGACCCTTCCCTCTGAAGCCCCAGCCCTCCGCCCCCCCCCCCTTATTAAATACGTACATTCCCTTACTTATAGAACTGTATCTATAAATAACGACCATGGATCGTTCTTTTGTAGATCGCGCGCATACTTTCAGGCACATAGCAGTGCAATGGAGTTTGAAAAGTAGTAATTTTCGTTTAGCTATCAATGTTTCCTTTTCTAAAGGGCTAAGAAATGTTTAAGTTTAACACCAGCATCCTAATCCTATATACCAGCAAACACGTACATGCAAGTACTGTCCTTACCTCAGCTTATTTCAATGAGAGTAAATCTTCCGACTAAAGCAGGATTGTTCTTTAATATCAAAGGCACGCGAACTCATAAAACCCCAATTAAACGGAGTCGTATTTCAGTTGTACAATCAGTTCACACCTGCCAGCGGCCAAGGTGAGGATGGGTAATTTATTCCTATTTTCTTTCCTTACTTACCTGCTGCCCTGTTGGGGGTGACATTTTAGCCAATGACAATCTTCACACTCGAAGCTATGCTTCATCCGAAACCAGACATATATAAAATGAAAACTATATACCTGCCTGTTCTCTCGGGAGGCCGTCTCATTGTTTTCTTGTTTCTTAGTGTTGCGAGCAGGTGCTATCACCAAATGACGTATATAATACAAAAGACTGAAAATACACGATACGTGTTACACTCTGCAGCTAGGCTAGTTACATTGTTGAGGAAGCATGATCACATATCGCTCGGTACTAATGGAGCTTCATTGGTTGCCAGTTGAGCAGCGCGTAGATTTTTAAAAGATCTTGTTATTTACGTATAAAGTGATGAATGGTATTGCACCTGTTTATCTCCAGGATCTGTCAGACCTTCATAGACCTTGCCGTAGCCAAAGATATCTGGAAACATGCAGCTTCGAAGACACAACTCTTATAATTTAAAATCGTACGGTTCAGGGTATTTTCTACATGTGCTTGCAATGTCCTTTCACGCGAGCTATACTAAGAGTCTGCGATTCTGTAAGTAGTTTTAAGAAAGCCCTGAAAACGTTTCTTTTCCAAAAGGCTTATTGTTGAAGACAAACATTTTAAGAACGTATGTTAGAGATTGGTCCCAAGATTTCGAGATTTCATTTAAGTTATATTTTATTTTTTTAAGGCAATTTTTAATTGTTATTAATGTGAAACGCTTGTGGACTCCTAAGGAATAAATGCAATATAAATAAATTGTTATTATTATTATTATTATTATTATTATTACACTTACACTACACTAACTTGATGATCGGCCAGTACTCTATAGACGTTTTAGCGCTTTGGAGATGCTCTGTGTTTTAGGATAGTTTCTCTCCCAAAACTGCTTATTAGACAAAGTTGGTGTCCCACTAGTCACCCTAGCCACTGTTACATCTGATCCTAGTCTAACCAAGGACAGGATTATCTCACCTACCGACCTCAGCTGTTTATTGATTCGATTTTTCATCGATTTTCCAGACGAGCAGTGAAAGCAACATCTTATTCAAATCGGCTAAGGGTAAATGTATTTAGACCTTGAAGTAGAAAACTTCACAAATTTTATCGATATTATTGTTTACCACCAATTCTGACGAGAGATAGGTGGAATACTTCTGTAACTTTAACAGGACATTGTTTGTGAACAACAAGGCTAATAATGTGGCATGAATACCGGCTGACACACATGATTTAAGTACAGTTTTTGTCGATTTTATTTCAGTTCTCAGTCGTTTCTCTGTAATGTAAAACTTTGAAATTTCCTATTTCTCATTGCGCATGTCCGTTGGGAATTTCTGGTAATACATTCTGTTATACACAAGTATACACCTATTTCAAAAAAGGTTGTCGGAGAAAACGGCGAATGGCAGTTGTCGAATGGAGATTATACGACCGAAAGAAAATTTCCCACGCGGCATGACCAATCAGAAGCAATACCCAGATCTGGCTAGTGACGCGTCATCAGTATGGAATTTATGCGCTCGTTTCTCAGACGTCATTTGGCAGGGAAACCAGTGGTAGCGCCGCCAAATGTCGGCTGAGCTTGTCTTGAGAGTTTTCTGTTTGGAAACAGTGTTTGACAAGACAGCAAGAGCTGGCATGGTGTACATGTAGGAGGCAAGAATCAGACCCCGGTCCAAAGAAAATGTCTGGTACACTGCTTTCTTTTCCTCACACTTTTAACTGATTTATTACCTTTAGTTATAAACGTCACAGATCAGTAACAACCTCGCACGGTTGAAATTCAAATTCGCCAAACCATCATTTAGATAAAAACTTTTTCCAACTACAGTAGCTAGTACTACCATAACAGCACAAAATTTACTGAATATTGTAAGGTTCATTTTGACTTAATCTACATGATAATAAATGTATGCTAATTACACTACGCACTTCCTATGAAGGAATTTTATCCTGAGTACACTTATAGATGAACATATTACACTTAGCTGTAAAAACAATGCACAGAACCTGCCTCAAGTATTGCTTAATACAGAAGATCCAGGTCTGTTGATTAAACTCATTGCGTACGTTCTACGATATCGTCTCCGTGCCTCGCTTTTTTCCCTGTCAGGTAATTGCAACTGAAAACCAAAACCAGTTATTCACAACTAGCTAAAGACTTATCTAGAAAAACTGTATTGTACAATTGAAATTAAAACTTGTAATGTTAAATCATAATATCGGGTCTCAAAAGGACAAAGAGTCGGACGAGGGTGCCTATTTCCCTTTTGTAAGAGGTCTGCACCCTATTTAGTGGCCAATGTTTTCGTCCTGTTAGAATAACAATTGTCTAGAATAAGGCAAAAAATACAATTCTAAATACAGTCAAAGCGCCCCGCTTTACGAAGAGCAGCTCAATACGGATACTTCACGCTTTGTCCCTTGGGAAATAAAGTTCTTACATTTTCTCTAATTTCAACCCGCGGGACATCCCGTTAATACTGACACTTTCTATGGCCTATACCCAGTGTTCGTATTAACGGGAATTGACTGATATCCAAGGCTAGACTTGCTACAAGTCGACCTCTTATAAGTTCTTAAAGGTGAGCGAAGCGAGCTTCAATGCATGAGGTTGCGCAGCGACCGAGCGAGCGACGAAGTCACGAAGTCGACTTGTTTCGCCTGATCTCAATGGATTTGAATAATATAAATTCACGCGGGTAAGAAATGATTGACATATGCTGCGTCGGGAACGGCGTGAAATATCACTCACTATCCTATTGGTCAATTATCATGACGTCACCGGTAGAATTTTCGACCGGTATGTGATTTTCGCGCCAAACAGGTACGAAAAGTCCTTTAAAATGGCATAACCAACCAGGATAAAAATAAAGGACTGAACTGGATTCTAGCTGAGGTCTTGGTTACAAACTAAAGAAAGTTGCATTTGATTAGTGTTATCCGGTTGTCCGACTGAGGAGACCAGTGCAGGATTGACTTGCGCTTGAGCCCTTTGTAGATGTAGGAGTTTCAAAAAGGCTTTTTTGAACTGTGGAAGCCGCCAGGCGTACAAATATGGGTTGACAGCAGAATTTAAGGATATGGTTAATTTCTGAATATCTCTTAACCAATGTACCAGCAGACAATTACAGCTTAAACAGAAATTAAGCAGGTAAATTATCACACAGGCAGGTACAAAGGATACAAGAAAAGTAAGAAGAACAATCGATAACGTCTTGGCTACTTTGCTCTCTTTCTTTATGTTCTTTATGTTCTTTGCGGATTGTAGTTTTTCACACATTGTGTTTTCAGCAGCTCTCTGATCTTGCCAAAATTTCGAGCGTTCACGCAAGCGTCCGAGAATACTTCGGTGAACAAACAGGAGAATGAAAAAAGTGCTAAAAACAGCAGTGTTGGCAAAAATGAAAGAGTACAAAAAGAAACCGAGTTTGAAGTATAAAAGAGAAAAACCCAGCGACACAATCCAAATGACCACCGAAGTTACAATGGCGCGTTTAGACGTAATCTTTGTACTGTATTTGACTGGGGATGTTACCGAGACATACCGGTCCGCCGCTAGTGCTGCCAGCGTTAAGACTGATGCCGTACCCAGAATGAAATAAAGCATATGGACCATATGAGAAGTCTGTAAGTTATCAGCGTTATTTATCGTGCCACGTGCTTCTCTAATGTGGACAACTATCATGGTGGGGTCCAGTAATAATCCCACGAGTAAGTCTGTCCCGGATAAGCTCAGTAAAAAGTAATGGAAAGGCGTTTTCATTTTTCTAAATGGATCCCGCATGATGGCTAAACAAACAAGAACGTTTCCAATCACAGTTGCAAGGCAGAAAACAGTTGCAAGTGAAGCGGTAAAATACGAAATCTCTTTGTGCAAATGGGTGTTCGCGCAAAGTTTTGGATCAGAGAATGCCATTGCGTCGGAAAAATTTGTCCAAAACAAAAAAATATTTGACGCTGAATTACTTTGTTTCCTTTAGAGGATATATCTACCAAATTATACACAAAGACTTTAACGTAACTAATTTACATTTTCTTAAATGGATTCGTGTTAACCACTTCTGATAACATAGACTATATTACACCTTAGTTATTAGCTGCATCAAAGTTTTTTCGGTGAGCTTTTTTGTATTGCTTGCTTAGAAAACGACTGACATCTAGGAGCTTCCAAAGTGAACTTTTCCCGGCTTCCGTGACGAATGTTAAATGCTGCGCCTCATAACCGGCGAAACCAAGTACTTTGCCGTCAGTTTTTGGGTCCAAGAATTCTTCTCCTGACGATGACTAATGTAAAAATTGTGTCGCGACGTCAATTCGTTGAGGCTCACCAGAAGATAGTCCAAGGGGCTGCTATCCACCTGGGACGTCTGAGGTTTAGAATCAGGCCTGCCAGAGAAGCAGCTACAAATAGCTTCTTTTACCTCCAATACGTTCCTGAAAGCTGCTTTTGTAGCTCTTTCTTGTTACTGTATGTATATACGTTAAACGTCCGAACGAACTGAAAAGAAAAAATGACAAATTAACGATCACCCCAGTCAATTTGTGAAAACACAATGAGTCATTCCTTCTCTCCTTTGCACAAGTAGCACCTGCGCGCAAGGTTAGGACAACAAAGAAATAATGAACGATTTTTAACAAAATAATCAGTGTCCGAGACGCGGTGTCTGAACTTTGACAAGTTCATGCAAGTTGCTTTAGTTTAAAGGGGATTTCCTTGTCTTTGTTAATTTTGAAACACAACGACCTTGAATAGCTGCATTTCTTAAAGAAACAGGAATAATATATTTAAACAGTTACATTATTAGGCGCCGACATGTTTAGAAGACGTTCCTTCATATTTACTGTGTAAGGGGCTTGATAATAGTCAAAAGCATCTTTCATGTCCCCCTCCCTCTTCCACCTTTTTTTTTTTATCGCTTCCGCTGTAACTTTCGCGCAATAACTCGATTGGAAACGCTTGCTACGCAGGCTATGATCTCTCTCGTTGATTTTGTTTCAAATTCAAACCACACATGCCTTTCAAGATGATGATACCATTTAATGGGAAAGCCTAATAATTTTCGAAAACAGTGTGTATTTATCCAATCAAACAGCCTTCTCCAAAGCTTATAAACATAATTGTCATAAAATGCACAATAATGAGCACAATCCTTTCCGAAGGTCATCCAGACTCCTTTTCGGTCTAAAAATAAGCAAGCGGGGGGGGCGGGCCCCAGGCCCCTTCCCTGATCAGCCGTTGGGTTTCTCTATTGCGTGGCTTTTAGTGTTTCCATGGTTTCTGCGAACGACTTCTTAAACGCTAAGCCATGCAAGACAGAAACCTCTGCGCGCAGGTTAACAAACTTTAATTCTAAATTTTTCCTCAGCTTATCAATATGAATCACCAGGCCGGTTTCCTACTGCCCGCTGGGTTAAGTAGGTTTATTCTTTGATATTCAGCCTTAGTAAGAAATTTAAAAGCAAAGAATTTAAATATGTAAACTGGGCTAAGTTAATAATTGAAAACAAGACTGTCACGATCTGTTCGACAAAAAAATTATCGCACTCTATGGATGGATAGCTGTCGTACTTTTCAATGGTAGGCTGTCACAATTCTAATTTAGTAAGTTGTCGCGCGAATCGGTAAAACCGTATGCACGAGTTATTACCAACTGTAGATTTAATAACAACACATATTACAAAATGCAAAAATTGAGGCAAACGTTGACAAAGGTGCACAGATGTTACAAATTAGAGTGACAAATTTATTATAAAGTTTAGCAATAGTCATGAATAGTTCGTAGTGGAAACAGTGTACAACAAAACCTGCTCAACATCAGAGCGGAATAAAAGTCAATAAAAAGTTAATAATAATTGTCTAAAGGTAAACTGAAGACAACTTCAGGGACTGATGATCTAACACAACAGCAGATTTGCATGCAGTAATCTGTCGAGAAAATTACCTGTAAACCGGCTGCAAAAAAATTAATGCGTAAAAATGATGGCTTTACAATCAAAATGTTTTTCAAATTTGCAAAAAGCGTCGGCTAACTCTAAGTTTAAAAAGGAGAAAGAATTTTAGAATTTAAATGATTGACTCTTCGGTTAATTTGTGGCCTCCAAAAGTTGGAAACATTGTATATTTAGCGGTTGATAGATACCAGAATTTTATCCAGACACAACTAAAACCTTTGCATCGCCACGTATGATTTGGGCTGCCATTTTTATAAGGCTTTTGGTTGTTCAAACAGGTACTTAGATATGCATCCTCAGCGGCACCCAACGACTCGTCTGTTTTCTGTGAAATATCTGTTCGGAGAGGCAAATCTTGCCTAGAAGTTTCCATAGGTTGAGGAAGGCTAAAAATTCCTGGATGACCGTTCCATTCATAGCTCATTCATGTACAATTTTGGAAGCTTATTATCTAATACATTCCCTACGATTTTCTGAAGTTTAATTTTTCCTATTTCACTCCCCAGGTTAGGCTATTTTTGGAGAAAAGAAACTAAAATTTTCGGAATCGAAAATGCGATGCAGAGAGGAATTAAAAAAACTATCACTTTCGTAAAACTTTAAATTGCAGCTAAAATTGTCGGGAAAATAATTCTGAAGCCCTTGTAATTTCGAAAAGACTCAAGTTGCCCTGGGATGACAGAACAGATATTAATTTTTTAGCCCCACTGAGAATACATTTCTAGAGATCTAAAAGTACTCTGGATAACCTAAAAAGAGTTTTCAACCGTCTTTGAGCCCTGCATCCTTACCTCGGCCTTTTTCAAGGAGTGTATCTTCTACCAAAGCAGATTCTTCTTTGATATCAGTGATATTTAACCGGCAAGAATTTTGCAATTTAACGAGTGGGAAGTCAGTTCTTAAACAGCCAGAATACACCTGCCAGTGGCTGTGTGGATTGATTATCTATTCTAATACGTTACTTCCCGTAATTACCTTGCCTTATAGGGGAGGATGAAATTTAGCCAACGACTGTCTTCATACTCGAAGTGATAGATGTTCTTCGGTAATAAACTGGAGCTTAAATGCCGATTCTGCCCTTGTTTGATCACTAAGCGGTAGCCCGTCTCATTTTTATCTCGCTTAGTTTGTCAGGTCAGAATTTAAAGGACAGACAATTATTTTGACGATGTCACCGCTATGTAAACTAAACGTGACTCTTAGAGTGGCATCTTTCAGGTTGGTCTCCGCAAGGAATTGAAATACAGTTTTACCTCAAATATCCTGACCCCTTTCAAGTGGGTGCCCCAGGGCCGGTCGATGTGCGTGTCCTCCTGGGAAACTCATTTAGTGTATGGTCTAGAGGCAAAGGTGCGTCAGCGAGGAATCAAGCGAAACGAACGAGGAAAGCCAGTCAATGGGGAAGCTGGAGCCGGAAGGCGGAAAGGAAGGAATGTTTGCCCCGCCTCTCACCAGTTCTCCCCTCGGCCATTTCGCTATCTCCAGTCCTGCTGAACGTCGACTCGACTGGGCGGAAAAAGCCTTCTCGCAGTCGCGCTTTTACGGTATCGTTATTTATTAAAATAATAGATATTATAATAGTCATTAAATCCGGTTATCGTTATCACAAGAAAGAAAACACTTTTTAACACTGCAGGCTACAGGATAAAAATTGTCTTCTTCATACGGAGCTTATTAGAAAACTGGTCCATATGGACGGTATAGACGATGAGGAGTTGCAAAAAATACGAATATTTAGTAACTTACTACACTAACCGAGAATTAAAAAGGCAGGTGCATTACAGAACATCATACAATAAACAAAGCAGTCAGTTAGTTTACATTGCCTAATTGTACTCCTTAAAAGAAGAATGTGTGCCAGTGAGTTATGATTTCTTTACATTGTGATATCGTCATTCAAAAAAGAAAACTAATGAGCCAGGAAAATAATTTTTCTTCAACTTCATTGCCGAATTGGGTAGGAAATAGACGAAATACGAAAAAACCCCCAGCTGCCCGAAATAGACCCTCCCTATACACCCCATATCATGATCATAAGCTTTGTTTTGTCGTACTGTAACAAATGATAAATTCTACCATGATTTAGCAAATAGGTTTTATTGTTTGAAACATGACATGGGTGATTACGTCGGTGCCAAAAATAAGAGCTGTTTATTGTTCTTGCTCGGGTAAATACAACATCAAACTAAACAGAAACCAAAAATAAATTAAATAATATGTACACACACACACAAGAAAAAGAAAAGAAAAGAAAAGCTATTATATATAAAGGGCTCGGAAACGAGACTTTGATTTACACGACGACCATTTTAAATTTTGAGCAAATTTTCAGTCTAAGATTTTTGTGCGTCGCCCGTGATAATTTATCTGATGATCAGGAAAAAACTGACGTCTGTTAGCTACAGATTAACAATTTTTCGTTTTCACATCTTGTTACGTTTATAAACCTAATCCTTACCGCTAAAAACGCGATGTTTTGCATGTGCATACATCTGTACATTGTGTTTTGACAAGTCAGATTTCGTTGACTCTACCTGCAAATCAAAATCATTGCACTGAAGTGCAGAACCTTGTAATAAGAAACGCTAGCTTAATTTAAACCTTAAGAAGAAATTAGATTTCGTAAATGAATAATTAATGTTGAGCATATTTGGGCGTTTTCAGTATTCCTTTAATACCTCCTAATTTCAAATATTGGTGAAAACCTGAAATCATGATTTTATATGTCGAGATGGCTTGAAGCGGTACATTGATCTTATTGTTTTCCATGTTCACCATGATTCTCCCTTTATTTCTAAGTTACGATCGCGACTTTTTGGACCTTCTGTGCCCTGCGTTGTTGATAAGGAAATATCAGACACTCTCTTTCTGTTCTGTTGCAGTTGGAGAAATTTTAAAAAGGCTCTTTTAAACTGTGGAATTCTCCAGGCGTACAGATAGGGGTTAACACCCGAGTTGCACAAGACGATCAGGAACTGTAAATCACGTAACCAATGTATTGATAAACAACTACAGCTGGAACAAAAATTTAGCAAGTAAATCATGACACAGGCAGGCGAAAACGAGGCAAAAAACACAAGAAGAACAATCATCAATGTCTTCGCTGCCTTGCTCTCCTTTTTGGACGTTATAATGTTGTTTTGATTTTTATGCTTGTCAGATTCCGAGTCTTCGATGAGTCTTCTATTTCGCCAGTATTTGGACCGCGCTCTTAAGCGTCTGATTATTCCAATGTGTACGAAGATCAGAACAGCAAACGTACTGATCACAGCGGTGTTGGCAAAAATAAGGGAGTAAAAGATGAATCCGATTTTTAAGTAGATAAAAGAGAAGGCCAACGAGGCTATCCAAATCGTCACCGACGTATTTATCGCACGCTTTGAGGTAACCATGGTCTTGTATTTTACGGGTGAAGCTACAGCAAAATATCTGTCTGCCGTAAGCGCTGCGAGCGTCAAGATTGAAGCGGTACTCAGGATAAAGTAAAAAATGTGTAGAATTTTGATAGATACTATAGTCAATTGTAGAGCCTCGCTGACGTGGTATACGACCGAAACAGGATCCATGACTAACCCCACCAGCAAATCTGTCCCGGCCAAACTCAGCAAGAAGTAGTTGAAAGGTGTTTTTAGGTTCCTAAACGGATCCTTTATAATGGCTAAACAGACGAGAAAATTTCCAGGAATGGTTAGAAAACACAGAAATGCTGAGAAGGATGCGGTGAAATAAGACAGCCCTGTTGGAGGACGAACAGCCGCACAAAGATTCTGATCGGAGAGCGCCATCCTCATTTAGGAAATTAATCCGTTGATGTTTACGAAATCTCCTCCTTATCACATACCTTCCTCTTCAATTTATGTTTGGATGGGATTTAAAAGCAGTCTTCTATTTTATCGCAGTAGGCTGTCAATTCAGACTCCGATTCGATTCACCACACGAAGTTCACGTGACGGCAAGGTGCTCTTAGTAGGTGTAGCTACGTAGCCGATTTTCCCAAAGTAAATGGTTTTCTGTGGCACTGCAATTAAACGACTTGACGCCAACTTGAAAATCACCGTCGATTTTTTTGAACTCGTTCCTGTATATTTTTAATCCTTAAACTCTTTGAACAAACGCCTGCACTCCGGCTTATATGGGACAAGCTGATTAGTTAATATAAGTGAATACGATTTGGTGAACACTTTCGTCTGCATCACATCAATCGTTTTCGCAACCCATTTTACACTTTTACAAATGATTTCTTCACGAAATCTATGTTTGAAATGATTCATTACGTTGAGGACTTAATTGACTGCTATTACAAACCAGCTGCATGGCGAATATATAATCAAACAACAGGATATGAAATAGATTTATGCTACATCTGAAAAGAAGTAATTCATTGCAAAATAAAACACATGCTGTCTATCTTCCGCAAAAGGAAATAAAAATCATTTTTTTACTGAAACGTGTGAGGATCTTGCTGTCCACATGAAAATACATGCGGTATAAAATGAAACTTCTACTTAGAAACACTTATTGACTCTTAAATATTGTCATTTTATTTAACCAGAAAAAAAAGTAAATAAGATTTTCGACAAGCTTTGCCAGCGTTGACAGTCACGAATCACAGTGATTATTACATGATTCATGCATTGGCCCACCCGTACAGTTTGCTGTGATTTGTTAAGCAGGCAATGAATATACTTTCCGATTCCCTCGAAGCCCGAATTTCTTGCGTTGTTGCGCTTAAATTTGTACATCGTGGAATCAAATGCCGTCCACATATAACGCATGGCCATACAGCTGCGTTAGCAAATTGCACATTCTTATGGCTACAAAAACACGCGTACCCAAGCGGAGCTGATGGAAATATATCGTGTAGGTTAAATGCTTTGTAAGGTTTTATTTGCCCCTCCGAAAACGAACTCTGCGTGATATCCGCATGTCTCAAAACAAACGAATTCAGCTTTTGATGTTTTTCATTTAGTTGGTAAAAGTCATAAAGGTAGTAGAATTAATTGATGTCATTTTATATCATCAATCTTTGTACCATGAATAAGTTTTAAGACGGAATTCACCAGAAAATTGAGTAATTTTAATTCTCAGTGGACAAAAACCTTTTACCAAAATAATTTACAGAATATTGAATTCTTTTTTACAATTTTCATTTGATGACCTAAAGAGGTACTTATTCATCTGTAATAACTATTTCTCATGAGAACCCAAGAAAATTAATGTCATATTTCACAAGAATTTTGAAAACACAGGTAAAATTGTGAAAATTTCATGTGTAACTGATTTGACATTCATTTTCTCGGGCTCCCATGAGAGATTTTCTTTGGTGTCAATACAGATGACTAATTTCACACACTGATTTCATCTTTAGCCCCTGAAAAATGTAAAAAAAGAAGAATTCAATATGCTTTAAATTATCATGGTACAAGGTTTTTGTCCACTGAAAAAAAAAGTAAAAAATTTCCTGGTAGATTCCGTCTTAACCCTTTAATTTAAGCCTTTGACTAAATGCAAGATTATCGATTATGTCGACGGAACTGCTTTCGGATCAGCTCACAGGAAAAAGGAAGTTATCATGTTGCCTTGTTATTTATTATGGCTTATTATCTTGTAACTTTTACAGTTTGATTCCATGTAACAGCAATCTACTCAGCCATAAGATCTTTGAAAAATATTAACTTTAAATTTTTATTCTTTTAAAGCTTCATGCATGGCGGCCTAAGATCTGTAAGATCCAAGTTGTTTTATTTTTTTTTATTAATTCCCTTTCCTTAATGGAGTCATCGTTTTAAACCACGAGTCCAATTAGCCCTGCACGATTTGATGTTTGATGTTCTTGGTTCGATAGTGAAGGCTTATTGGTCCGATTTTGCAAGTGTTTTTTTTATTTGTACTTTCAGGATTGCCAAGATAACGTATTTACATTGTTTAACCTCAGTTCAACATCCAGGGGTAACAATAATAATCAACTTGGAAAGGACGCCAATTCCGTTTATCGCCTTTTACTGATCATGAAGACAATTTTATTGAAAAAATTCTAAAAAATTCAATGTTTTTAATATTTGGCTCTCAATGGGGAAAACTAGCAGTACATGTACTTGTAGTTGAAGGCCGAAAATAGATAACAAAAATAAAAAAAAGAGATACGGCTTATTCATGCTGTAAGAAACCAAACAGTTGTATCACCGACAGGTGCTAATAGCCAAATCAGTAATTATGTTAAATAAAAAAAAAGAAGTAAATAAACAGAAAATTAAATAAATAGAATTAAAAATGATAAAAACTAAAACTGGTAAGCCTTTTTTTCTATACTTATGCTGTTCTGGCTGTTGCGCTGATATTGCTTGACCCTTCTAAAAGAAAGTCTACAATTCTAGTGAATGAACACCTTATAGCGGCTGTTTCGTTTATTTTCGTTTATGGAACTTTGATTTTTATCAAATTTTATACAATTTTGCGATAATTGAATTGTGTGGCGATTTCCGCAATTTTTTTGTTGTTGTGATAGGCCTAGATGTCCCCGAGAATAATTTATAACGGCAGGAGTAGTTTTTGAAGAAATACATCCCCATTAGCTATTCTGGAGGTTTTATAGACCATGACAGTTGGAACTAGCTGAGGACTCGTTTTTAGCTGTTGAATGATGTAGTCAATCTATGGGCTTTCCGTGGAGGCGGTTGTAGGCCACTCGCTCAGTCGATCCTCTTTTAATCATCAGTTAAACTGTACTTAGTCAAGATTAAACATTTTTCTCCTAACCTCCCATTTAATTAAGGAGTTTTCCACAAGTCTTTCTCGCATTTCGACGCATTGTACGGCAGATACTATGAGGATAATAGAAAGGCGTATAAATGTTTGCCTTGCAGATAAAGTATAGGTGTTCTAACTACAGAGGTCAGTCATGAGAAGATCTCATCGCGGCCTCTGAAGATGGGGCCATGGAATGAATATATCAGTAGGGTTTGTGGTGAGTGAGGCCGTTTTAAGTTGACTGGTCGTGTAGAAGAATCATTGACTGGAGAGTTCCTTTTTAAAATTAACATACGTGTTCCCTTTCAGAGACTGGAGTGCTTTTCGTTTTTCTGATGACAGTTGGTTTTAGGCTCTTCAAAATATCTTTCTAGAGTAACAGATGGTTCTACTTATGCCATCTACTTTGCTTTAACGTAATGAGGATGTGGTTTCGTCATTTTGCCCTTGATAGTGATTTATTTGTGGAAGTCGAAATAGAAATACGAACCAAAATAGCGCCATCAAACCAATGGAAAATGTACAAGTGAGATGATATCTTCTATCTCTGGAATCCCTCGCATTAAGACCACGTATATTGTTAAACTACCCCCTTTAACCTTAGTGGTCTAATCATGGAACATCCCACGAAAAGCAAAAATTCCCAGTGCATTCACAGGTAGCCCAAGCTCGAAATATGAGCATCGGCGAGCATCGGCATTGTTTTGTAACGTTCAAAATATAAGGATTTGTATGGGAAAAAAACCTATCGGTTTCTGTAACCTACGAAAATGAAACGATTTCAATAAAAAAACTATATAAATATAGTGTTTCTTTTCTCTCTTTTTTTTGTACGTCATTTCCGCCTCTCCCTTTTAAACAATTTTTATTGCAACGTTCTCCATCTATACAATATTGTAATTCCTATCATAAATTCAGCAACATCAGTAAACCTGAAGAAGACTGGTATGGCCAGCCGAATATTCTGAATGTTGTTGTGAAAAAGTATACACGTTATTATGATCTGCTTTGCAGTCATCATTGAACTTCTCGTTTTTTGGTTCTTAATATTTCATCTTATTAGATCTCTTTTCTAGAGATCCAACCTTCCTACATTCTCTACCTTAAAATAACAATCAATATTTTGTGCACAACACTTACTCTAAATCCCTTCCCCAGGGTCTCCTCTTTATCCAAAATAAGAAAACCCTGGGGACAAGTCTTTGAAATCCGCTGAACAAACTAATGCCGTCACAGCAAATGCGGTGGGATTGCAACTTTATCTGAGCTCTTCTGAGCTCTCTGAGCTGTGGACAGTTTCGCTATTGATCTCTGTGATTGCACTTTCCACCACTAAGAAAGTCCATAGGTGAAAGCTTGTAGATCTCAAGGCTTGTGACAGGCTGAGAGAACCAGCACCTGTGAAATGATGGCGTTTCGCTTTTACCTCCACTAAATCACGAGGATCGGCCGCTGTCATCATTGCGACCTTTAATTTCAACTTCATGGCATCTTTCTCTGTTTATCAGATAGACGTCTTTTATTCTCATAATGGCGAGCAATATTAGCGAAGATTCAGTGGAAAATAACAGTCCAGAAACCTTAGGCCTTAAGCCTCCCTCGCGGTCGAAATCGCGTACAAAGTCCGTGGACGAGCTTGTTGCTAAACTGGAGGAGCAAAACAGGTAAGAATATCTAGTACGGCCTACACTTTCCTCTTTTCTTGCTGGTAGATAAGGTAAAACGCGTCTTAATTCTCATTTCAAGAGGTAGCCAAAACAGAGAGAAAGCGAAAGCAATTTCAGGTTGACGAGTTCGCATGCTTTGAGCTTCATAATAAGCTTATTTTTCTTTCTATTTCCTCGGGTAGAACCTCTCGTTTAGCTTGACAGAAATATGCATAACCTTATATTTGACGTCTTTTCTTCTGCATTTTAATGATTGAATTGTCAATATCTCCCCTTCTCTTATCTTTATACTGTTTTGAGAAGAGAGCTACTCAAAATACATTATTCATTTCGGTGAACATGAACTCTTATGCATTCGATCAGTGCCAATGCGGCTTTCCTACACTTCAATGTTATTGGTAACAAATAATTATTGAGAGCGCTCAATTATTTAAATAGTTTGTCATCCTTGGGTGACGCATTTCCGGTAAATAGGCATGGTCAAATTTTTAGTTCCAAACATTTAGTACATTTAACATTTTCATGTTATTAATATTTAATTTTTTGGCAACATCTATGTTGCAGTTAATTTTTCATCCCAGGTAATTTTTCTTTTTCTTTTGTTTTTTTGGTATTGTAGTATATTCTAATGAAGTTGAAACAAAGGAAAAATAAAAATTATCTAGGATAAAAAATTAACTACAACATCTACAAAAGCTTTCAATATTTAAAATATTCTCTACTCAACACTACATAAACTCAATTTGTTTAAATCTTAGACCTTGAGTGGTGGGAGCACTTTTTAAAGCGATTAATTTTTTTAGCTGTTATTTTGATTTCTAAGGATTAACGGAAATCTGTTAGAACCCTGAGTTTTCTCCCACATCAAGTATCACACATCATTCAAAGTACAGTCAGTCATAATCATTGTAATCAGTAAAGTAAAAGTCATTAAAGGTCATTTTATTTTCACTGTTGCCATCATTAATTCAAGGGAGACAGATTATAAACAGATGTTGCTGTTAAAAATATCTAACTGTATGTTAATTTGTGCAGTTTTCTTATAGGCTTTTTTCAATAATACCAATAGAAATACAGTTTATGTGTATCACAGAATTTCTCTAGGGACTTACAATCGCTCCAAGAAAAATATTGAAAACAATGCTTAAGCAAAATTTTGGAGGGAAAACAAAGAGTTTTATGGTATTTTTGAAAAAGGGTTATAATTATTAAATATTGCACTCACTAATGAGGCTACGGTTAATTTTTAGAAATCAGCACAACCTACAGATTAGTTGGATATCTGCTTACAGAGAACTGACTAATCTGTAGATTGCATGCACAGTATAATTGTCATTTCCAAGACCAATGTCAGCCTTCCAGTCATGTGACAGTGTGTTTTCTGTCATTTTCTTCACGTCTAACAACTGAAATCACATTCCGTGAGATGCAATTCGTGTTGCACAGGAAATGAGACGTGACTGGTAATGTACTTTTGAGTTGTACTGTATAACTCTCACTCATTTGCACTAGATTTGGCACATGGGGAAAATGTGGATAACTGAAATAATAATAAACACTGTAAAGCTCTGCGTAAGTGTTATCAGCCTCAGATTTAGCCTTGGCAGATGAAACTTACCTAGACCTTGATTATTCAGAGAATACCACAAGAATCTCATCCAATAATTGTTTATGGTCTTACTTTCCATGCCAGGTTGCTTAGCAGTGATGCAAAAGCCTTGACAACTATTCCTGATGGCGCCATATTATCACCAGCCACCAGCAACATTAAAAGATGGTCATCATGCAGTGTAGGAAGTAATTCCTTAGATGGTGCCTCCGCAGATTCCCCAGAGACACCAGAAAATTACGAAGAAGTCTGTGTGGAGGCGGACACCTATCACCAATGGGGACAACTCATCGGCAACTGGAATGACACACACAAGAAGAAGCCCAAACTAGTAAGGGAGATGGTGAGGAGAGGAATTCCCAATGCTTTACGTGGAATGGTGTGGCAGCTGCTTTGTGAAGCAAGGGATCTTCCACTCAAAGATCAATATCCTCAACTTATTAAGGTGACTAGTTGTGTTAGTGTACCGTAAAATTCCAAAAGTAAGCCCCTCCAAAATAATATAAGCCCCCCAAAATTGTAATGCAAAAAACTCTCCCTTAAATCACCCCTCCGAATATAAGCCCCCTGAGGGGATTGTACTTGGAATTTGCCCCTGAATACAAAGTAAAACAAAGCAATAATGATAAATTTCCTTTCCACTACAAGCTAGCCCAATCGATTTTGAAGGGCAAATTTCCCTCTGTACATAAGCCCCTCTGAATATAAGCCCCTCAAAAAGGGCCTTTGAAAAATATAAGCCCTGGGGCTCATTTTGCGGAATTTTACAGTATGCTATTTGTGTGCAATTTTACCCAATGTGATCTTGGATCTCAGTCAGACAACAAATATTTATTGTTAAATTTATTTACAACAAAAAAGCTAAGGCAACTTGGAAGGAGAATAGCTTACTTCTTTTTTCAAAACACACCAGAGAAAACTCCCCATTTTCCAACCAGTTACTGATGTTCGAATCCTATAGACGTTATTTTATTGCTACAGGTAGGAGTAAGGACATGTCTTTTTTTGGGAGTGAACTATTAGATAGCAGATTCATCTTAAGTTTGCGAAACCTTCATTACATGCTTTCTGTTCAAATAGGTTGTAAAATTTTGTAATATTTGATGTACATGTATAATGTCAGTTTGTCATCACAATATTGTTTGAGCCAGCAGACTTGGGAAATTGACACAGACAAATAATTGTTTATAATTTCTTAATTCATGCTCAAATTTGGTGTTTTAGGCACTTTAATCTGCTACAGGTAGATGTTTTACAAATAAATAATTTTATTAAATTGTAACTATTCTTGCCTGGAGTTTTTTTAGTTGTTGTATCATGACACATGTACAATGTACAGTATCCATTATTTGTGTAGAGCAACTCAGCCTGTGAACGGATGATCAAACGCGACATTGCTAGGACTTTTCCTGATCATTCATTCTTTAAAGACAAGGATGGAATTGGGCAAGGAACTCTCTTTAATGTCATAAAGGTAACTTGATATGAAGTGGTTGACTTATGTTATACCTGCCAACTCTCACGCCTGCAGGTTGAAAACTTCGATCTCACGCCGGCTCACGCCTGCGGGCCAATTTCTCACGCCTGATTGAAAAATGTGAGTTGTTGCCGTCCTGCTTGACACAATTTCCAAAAATATGTTAACTCAGACCCATGTAAGGAACGAAAACCATGTGTAAAATGAATAAATGGCAATACCTTCTTCGCGATCTCTGATTTTTGAGGTGAAAAGCACTGGGAGCGAGCTCGCCTTTGGCAGACTTCGGACGTCTTCGGAAGACTTCGGACTTCTTCAGGAATCTTCGGAAATGATCGTGTCGTCTTCAAAAATCCCAGCACTCCCAGGATAAAAATCTCACGCTTATATCTCAGAAAAAGTTGGCAGGTATATTATGTTTGTGAAAAAGTACACAATGTACATGTAGTTAAAGGAATTCGTAGCATGAGTGTAACTTGCTAATCATTAATATTGTTTGTTTTTCCAGCTTAGTTAAGATCTTTAATGTTCTGAAGACAATATTGTCAGACAATGTATTGTCAGTTAGCAAAGTTTAGATATTGTTTCTGCAGCCTTCTCCTTGATTGAGCCTAGCATGGTTGTGAACTTTTTCTGGAACTGGCTCTCTTTCTTAGCTTGGTTTGATGTATTCTGACAATCAGTCATTGAGTTCTTTATTCGAGGACATTATTATTATTTCGTTCTACAGAAATAATAATATTAGAACCATCTTGGGCAGCAGGTGTATGTTTTCCTGAGATTGAAAAATGAATATTTTATTTGCAGTTTTAAAATAGTACAATGTATTTTATAATAATGACATGTAACTTCCCCGGTAAATAGTGCCAATACCATGGATACTAATTGTTGGGCATCACTACATTGATAAACATCTTTCTTAAAAGTGCATGTAGATTGTCAAACAGAAAAGCATCATTTTATGAGAATGAATGTGTTTATACAACAACTCTTTGTATGAGAAATGCAGGTTTTATTTAAATTAAATTACTGTATTTAGTGGTTAACCCCTTAAACCCCTAAGATCAAAATTAACATTCTCATTTGTTGCCTCTATTCATTTACTATAGAATTTGTGGGGTGAAGTTAAAAAAAGATCAGGCAAATTCTTGTGTGATCATACCCTTAATTCTCATTACCCCACTGTTTTTGAAAACATAAGATACATTACAAGGAAAAATTTAATAAAAAAAGGTTGAGTTTGATCGTCTGGGTGAACATAGTCCTGAATAGGACTGTTGTTGTTGACAGTGACTGACGTTTCGACAACCTGTGCGTTAGTCATCTTCAGAGTCAAAGTGAGTTGTATCAACTGTTAAGTTCTCATTCAGTTTTCATTATTTTTAGTTTCATTTCATTTCCAGTGTTTCATTTATGTCATTGCTTTGTTTCTAATACTCCCCCTGGATAGCTCTTATTTCAGTCGATTGCACGTTTCTCGCATGATACAGTAGAAGAATAAGTTTTTGTGTCATTTAGTTTCGTTTCGTTTCGTTATTTGGACGTTTACTGTGTGGGTCATATATGTAAGTAATCATTTTCGTTTCCTTTCGTAGATATTTTTGTTGATTTAGTCTTCAGGTTATTGATTTAGTACTTTATTTGTCCCCTCGTGGGCATACATGTTAATTTCGTAACAATTTCGCATATTTCGTTATTTACTACAGTATGGATATTTCAGTTACCTTTCTACTAATTTTATCATCATCGAAAGTCAATATATAAAGCATTTTATTTAGGTTTACAGATGTATTTGTTAAGTGTTTTCCATGCAACAATAAGAATCTTCATGTGCAGGGTTCCGCCCCCAAAATGCACAAGCTTGTACTTTGTCATTAAGCCTTTTGTACACCATTATGTTTATCGTCTTTTGTTTCGATCGCTACTCATTTATATTTTGATTTCCGTTATAAGTTAGTTCATTTAGTTGTATTTGTTTTTTAGTTTAAGAGAATCATTGATCGCTGGCAAGAAATAAATCAAGTTGATTACATCACATCATTTCATCGCCTGCAAGTTTTTGATCTCCGTATTTAAATATCCCCGATCAGTTAGCGACACGTTTGATTTGTTAGTAAAGAACATGACCGTCGCTTCGCATTAACATCAACCTTTTGAAATGACTCCTGGGTTCAAGCCTTTCACAGAGAAAGTTAATGTTGATCACTCTTAAGGCTTAAAGGGTTAAATCATGTGGATTACTGGTACAAAAAATTAAAAAGAAAATTTAATTATGTGATTCATGCTAAATTGTAATAGGCTTACTCCATTTGGGATAAGGAGGTTGGATACTGTCAAGGAAGTGCATTCATTGTTGGCATATTGTTAATGCAGGTAAGATTAAGCTTGTATAAATTTGCCTCTGTTGTAAATGTATATATATTCAGGACAAGCGGAGTTGGTTTGATCTATTCTTGATAAGTCAACTTCTTTCCTGACTTACATGTACAGCATCTATTTAGGAAAGATTGAAGTGACTCTTGCTGGTTGGAATTTTGGGAGGAATGCTGAAATATTAATTGAAATTGTTGTGCTTTAAAACTCAAAAGTAAAAAGCTAACCAAAATTTACTGAGAATTGCAACGCATCCCAAACTCACAGCTTTTCAAACTTGACTGCTCTACCTCGCTGACTATTCCTGATGTTCCAGTCAAAGATTAATATTTATCAGTAAAAATGATTTCATGTTTGTCGCAAGATTTGGAATTTAGCAAACAAGTTATTCGATTCAGGGTTATACTATAAATGTCTCGCACAAGAAACATCTGATCTACGAGCATCTTAATCAGGTTTCAAATGCCACTCTCTTCACTTCAATGCAAATTTGCGAAGCCCCCTCCTCTGCGGTAGTTTCAATTTACAATCTCACAGTTATTTACATTTAGTTGCTGTTTCACCTGTGTTAAAAAATTCTAATGACTCCTCTTCTGTCAGTCAAAGTGGTTCATGTCACAAACGCTGATTAAGAAAACTAGGCAATTAAATAGTTAATAGTATTCACTTGAGATCAAGTGACAGTAACTTATGTACAGTACTAAGTTGAGAGTATGTACAGTAACTTCCTTCTTAGCGAAATTAGAGATGCTACACACTTACATGTACGTAATATAAATACTTCTAATTACATCTCTATTCTTCTTTTGTAGATGCCTGAGGAAGAGGCATTTTGTGTATTTGTAAAACTTATGCAAGATTACAGAATGAGGGAAATATTTAAACCAACAATGGCAGAACTGGGCCTTTGTATCTTTCAGCTAGAAAGCTTCTTACAGGTACATTTTGGACAGAGGAGGCAACATTTTGTTTTGTTTTCTTGTATGCACATACATAGCCTGAGGAAACAGCCATTGTTTTGCGATGCCACCACTGGTCTCTGCACTCTCACCGTCTATGAAATGACCTGAGAAATGAGCAAGGAGTTTCCATACTGATGATGTGTGACTACCCAGATCTGGGTAGTGCTTCTGATTGGTTGTACCACTTTAATAGGAAATTTGCTTCAGCCAATCAGTATGGAATGATGATGTGTCATCAGTAGGGAATTTCTTCGCATGTTTTTCAGAGGCCATTTTGCAGGGAAACCAGTGGTTGCATTGCGTCCGATGCTAGTAATATAAGCAGACAATAATAGTTGTATTTACTCAATAAAGCACTCCAGAACGTGCACTCTTGTTATATTGCATTAGCCAATTCTCTTCACTAAAAGCAGTGCCGTAGCCAGACCAAACGGCCAACCGAGGCAGGCGGGAGTTGCTAGGGGGGTTCGGGGGCATGCGATTTGCAGCGTTTTCTGTTCCTTTCGGTAACTTTTTTTCGAGTTAATTTAAGTGGAATTTAAAAAGCAATAATCAGAAACAAGCTACATAATCTGGGTGACCGTTAACCTCGCCAATGGTTTTGATCAGTATTTGTTCAAAAAAAATTTGAGTTAACGTACGTAGCCCCTTGAGATCGATGATATGGTAATTTTTTCATAGTATATTGACTGAATTGCTGAATTCTTTGTAATATCATGATGCGTTAAAAATATCCGATGATCGCTTATGTAAAATAAAAATGATCGGCGAAATTCGTCAAAATTTTACCGAGGCGAGTGCCTCGGTTGGCCTCATACTAGCTACGGCGCTGAAAAGGTCTGCATTTATTGGATAGCAAATTCATGCTTATTGCTGGGATAAAAAAGCAATAATAAGTCACTGCCTCAATTAGGCGCTGCTCATTGATTATTGTTGAATCTTTTGTCGTTGCTGTTGCCTTTTTCACTGAAATGATTGCTGAACATATAATTTACAGTGCATACCAGTGCTTTGAAAACAATGGTGCTTTCATCTTTAAGAACTGGTAGAAAGACTAGACCAGTGTTATTTTGTGTCTTTTATATAAAAATATCAGTGGTGCTGCCATTGTTGATGCCCCAGATTAGTACATGTATTAATCGAAGTTTATTTTTTATCCCTTTAAGGAGAGTCTACCTTTGTTGTTTTCACATTTTCAAGCCCAGGTTAGTTCTGTACATAGTGATGGAATGAACAGGATCTACTGCAGCCTAAATTGATAAAAGTACATGTGTATGGGGAAATGTAGTTTGATACATGTATAGTAATTATTGACTGTCATCCATTCACTATCCCAATGTCTGGCTCCAAATCCCGTTTCCCTTCCCATGTAGGTTGAATCATTGAAAATTCCAATTGCCCGGAAGGAGAAGGGTCTTAGTGGCCAAAATTGTGGAAGAAAAGTATGACACCCCCCTACAAACCAATAATCCCTTCATGGGAGGAGTATGGATATTTTTCTGGAGAAACACATCTACAGGCTGTATGTAGATTTTCACATAACATTGTAGAAAAGAACTTTGTGATAGAAGATTAATTTGTTTTGTTATAATAATTTAAAGGAGCTAGTTACACTGTACAGTTTCTCAATTTTGAAAAAACTTTACCCTAAATTAATTTTTTAAGTGAAATATTTCTAATTGCTTTTAATCTCCTTTTTCCTTGTCGTAGGGTTTCCACACAGCTATGTATGCATCATCGTGGTTCTTGACACTGTTTGCTTCTGTGTTTCCCCTGAATGCTGCATTTAGGATAATGGACGTTTTTATTTGTGAGGTATGGCTCCAGCATGGTTTTGCGATGCACATGCCACTTAAATAAATTAAAATGTTGAAGCGTTTGACACTTTGTTCTTTCCTAGTAAGTGTAAGAGGCAGATTTTTTCTTTTTTTGTAACATTTTGCATTCTAGCACATGCAAAATAATTTGAGTTTCCCAGAACAGGAAGTATACTTATTAATAATTACTAGGCAATGAAAAGCCTATTAATAGCGAAGCTCTTCTTCCGTGTTCTCTCGTATGAGAACCCCGTTATAATAAATGGGAAATGGCCATATTATTATTCTGTTGTCGTTGTTACGTGACTGCGTAGGTACATCAGTAAAGGAAACATGCACTGCTTGTGCGCAAGGGCAGCCCCGGGCAAGCCGTGTTTATCTCGGTGGAAAATCGTATGGCAGTAAAAGAAAAAAGTGATTTATCCAAAAAAAATACGCACTTTCCTAGGTTTTTAACTCAGGTCCTTGGAACGGGTGCCTTTGCTCTTTTTTAGTTTAATTGCCTTTTTTTGAACGGTTTTGATCTGTTAGCATGGGATCTCTTTTTGTTTTGGAACTGTTCGTAGACTGAGTTTGATTGTTGTGTTCTGTTGCCCTTTTAAAGGGAAGGGAAGGTCTCTTTCGTGTGATATTGGCGATGCTTACACTGGGACAAGAGGAAATACTGGAACTTGATATTGAGGGAATGCTTAGGGTAAGTCAGTCAGACAATCGATAGTCTCTGGCCTGGGAGCAAGCTCTCTGGGGCGCTCTGGCGGCGGGGCGGGAAGAGGAAGGAGAGCTTGCAACTACATGTACATGTACTTGGTCTGGAAGTTGAAAAAATCGATGCGAAATGCTGATTTGCGAAGATGACGTTAGTAATGACGTCATTATCGTTGGCACGTGTTTTTCACTGTTTGTTAATATTTGCGCTCGTTTTCGCTTCGCGCTGATTGGCAGAAATCTGACAGCTCAGTCGATGGGGAGCCACAGGGGAATACTATTGGAGGTGGAATTCAAATTGCAAGCTCTCCTTCCTTTTCCCGCCCCGCCGCCAGAGCGCCGTGGAGATCTTCCTCGCAGGCTTATAATTCTCTGTAACTCACAACACATCTCAGGCTATGTTCACTCTATACCGAATACATAGCTTTTCCGCCCGCACGAAAACCAGACCGGATAGGACTACTGTTCACACATAAGTACGGTGATTTCGGCGCGATTTCTGTGACGGAGCGAAGCTGCCCCTCGCCGATCTCTTAACCGGAGAGTCACATATCGGACAGGTGGTCATACGATACCGGATAGCCTTTAGTGTCAGCACGATAAGCTATGCGGTATAGAGTGAACATACTCTTAAACTTCTACTGTGTGTGCCGTACGTAGTGGCAAGGCTTTTTTTTACCTTATCTGTCGTGTTTTTTGCTCCCTTTTAAAGTATTTTCAGAAGGATATGCCGGACAAATATGAAAAGGACATGACGGTACTTATGAAGGCGGCCGCTGAAGTAAAAGTGAGCTCAAGGAAATTAAAGAGGTAGGTTATCACTCAACGCAAAGTCAGTGAGTACGCGTTGATTGCTGTTAGTGTACTCTGAGGACAATTTCCCAACTACAAGCCCCCGGGGGGCTTATATTTGGAGGGGTGATTTAACGGAGGGTTTTTCGCGTTACCGGATTGGAGGGCTTATATTTTGAAGGGCTTATACATGGAGGGGCTTATTTTCGGAATTTTACGGTATTAAGCTTAGCATCGCGTTTACGTCCAACGGCAAACGTGAATTTATACCTTATTACCAAGTTTCCAGACACGAAAATCGGTAGATTCACGCCAATTCTATCCTTAAGAATTGTTTTAAGCTGTGTTATCATCAGCTCATTTCTCAGTTTTGAAAATTTCTCAACTTGAATCTCACGTTTTGCCGTTTGCCGTAAATGCGATGCTTAATCTCTCTAATCATTTTTTCCTTGTACGGATAGTAAGAGATACGTCTGAATATTTTTCTGCTTTGAAAGGTTAGAGAAAGAATACACACGTGTAAAACACAAAGAAGCAGAAGATAATGAGGAATTGCGGCGATTAAAAACCGAAAACAGACTACTTCTTCAGAGAATAGACGAGCTTGAAAAGGTAGGAGACATGGGTCAGTTGGATTTGTTTGCAATTGCATGAACTCATTATTTATTCTCGTTTTCTTTTGTTTGTTATTATACTATCTTTGGATCTTGCATGCATTTTGGAATGTTTTGTTCAACAACTTAAAGTAAACCGTTGACACAGTTACGCAATCAGTCCATCGGAGACGAACTAACGATAGCATTTTTAAGTGTCTTTTGAAATTAACATCGATCTTCTTTAGCAATCATTTGCTTTACCTATTCTCAAAAAATCTTAAAACAAGTGTTGTTGATATACATACTTTTTTCATTTTTTGTTTTTTGTTTTTATAGGAGGGGGCCAATTTAGCCGATAGATTAATACAGGTAAACGGCTTTTTCTGTGCAGATGGAATGGGCAGTGTTTAAGTTTAGAACCGTGACTAAACTAGGGCGCAAGTTTACACCACAATCTTGTTTGTCTCCAGACTAAATTTATGTGGCGACATAGAGCCAAGTCCATCCCTGCTCATGAAATCCAGAGTTTCTTCACTTCTTACTTGGTTCTATACACTTCTCAGAGGTGTGGAAGTAGTGAATAGTCTGACAAAGTCAGGATATTGTCACACTTTTACCCAGTCACGAACCCTTTGTAATTCTTTACTTCGTTCAGTGTGGAAGTGTGGAATAGCGTGGCGACATAAACGCCTAAGTAAACGCACATGTACTTGGATGTAAAATGCCAGTTTCAGTGCAGTTCAGGTAAGGTCTAAGAGACCACATCAAGCGTGAGTTGCGTCGGTTTATGAAACAATACATCTTGAGCCTGCGTGCTAAGATTTTGGCCGGATTCTAGTTTCAGCACCCCACTTCTCCTTTGGGTCAGAGCTTGATAGTCAGTTACTCCTTTGTTGAACTTTACTCTGTTGTTAGGTTTTCACCTTATGACGTTCTAATTCCTCTTATTTTAGGGCCAAATTACTCGAGCTGAAGAACAAGAGCAAATTTATACTCTCAGGAGAGATCTTGTACTTATAAGAAAACACGACGAGGCCACAACGCTGGCTCTTTTGGAGGCCAACAGACGTATAGAGGAACTCGTCATGTTTAAGGTTTGAAACATAGTTGCTTTGTAAGATGCCGGTGTACAGTAAGATGTAAAACTGATTACGAAAAGTCAAAGTAGATGTGAAGATACATGTTAATCGTTGTCCGTCCTTATATGCATTTAAAAACTGAAAAGAGACTTACTTTGTTGACTTTAAAAAAATGCACCTTATTTGAGTGTCAAAGTATTTAGCAAGAAAGTACTAATTGGAGACACTATTTTTTACGTCTCCAACTGGAAACGGGACCGCCATTTTACGTGGTCATCCGAGCCTCGCGAAGGTCTAGCCGCTCTCTGTGCAAAGAGAGTACCTGCTTTCTTGCGACCGAAAAATATCGACGCGGACGGGGTGTTTTGCCTGAAAGCCGCCCTCCGATTTGCCACCACGTGTTCCAAAATAGCCAGTAAAATTGCCCGAAAATAAGTCAGTGGCCTGGATTATAAGTACATACAAACTACTGCTCCAAACGCAACCCGATTCGTGATTCGTGAAAAATTAATCAATTTGTACCGATTAGTTAAAAGTATTATTATCGTTCAGAAGCTCTGCATCTTTTTTTGTTGGTTTGACTTATATCTGTTGACTGAAATTGTTAATGAGATGCCTTTCTTTGTAGAATCACATTATTAATGAGATGGCCTCACGCCAGGACGCCTCTCCCCCCTCCCCAAGGGATGTCAAGCTTATTTCATTAGAGGCAGAATTGGAAGAGTGTAAGAAAAGGGAATCCAATACAAATCAAATTATTAACGATATGACGAAGAGAACACGGGATTTGGAAAACGAGGTTGGTCATTTTCTTTGTTTTATGAGAACCTATCCCTAGGACGCAAAGGTGAATGCTTACTCGAATTTTTGTATCACATCTTGGTACGTGCCATTCTTGGGCCCATTTAGTTTGCTTTGAAGTCGACCAGTATATTTCAATACGGTTTTGAAAGTACCCTGCGCGTTGCATTGTTTCTTGTTTGTTAAAGATGGTCAACTTTTGAGTTAAAGTTAAAGAGCATTTTGTGAGCAGTTAAGGTAAAATTGAGACTGCTTGCAGTCGTTCTGGCTTACAGGCCGGAAAAGCTGGCTGACCTAAAACCAGCGAGTGAGCGATGCGGTGTATGGTTCACCTGCTGTCGATTTACTCTCGCTGTGGTTAGCATCCAAAGACAAATTATGCACCAAAACAAATTTAGGGGACTACATAGATATGCGTGGCTGTCATTTATGGTTAATCTAACTCTACAATGAACAACCAACATTTGGGGATTTATGGATTGCTTGGAGGCTAATAGGCCCCTAACAGAGTAAACGCGAGGCTATTTAGCAATTATTCCTCGAGTCCATGAGGCCGAGAGGAATAATTGTTTTAGTAAAATCCAACTAGTTGGTCAAACATGTCGAGACAAAACACCTTTAGCTAGTAGAACGTGATTCAGCCACCGCTGTTTCGGTTTTCAAAGCCAGCGCTCTTCGCTACTAGTGGGCTATAACATATAGCCCAGTAGTAGCTCAACCAATCAGAACGCAGCATTGATAATAGACCACTAGTTGGATTTTACTAAAAGGCGTTATACATGCACTGAGTAGACCCTGTCCAATTCCTCTAGCTCTATCTGGCAAAGGAAGATGCATCCAAGTCAAAGTTCCCTCAAGTGACCTTCACAGGATCAAATGGAACTGAGACACAAGAAAATGGAACTGAAAATGGCATGTCTAAAAACAGTGCAAGCTGATGGTGATGTTGCTTGTCCAAAGGTACAGTTTTCATCTGTTAAACTGTGCGCCTCCTTTGTGAATGTTTACTTCAGTTATTGAGAAATTCTAAGGTTCCTTTGGACTTCTACTGTCTTTTACTTCTGTACAAAAGCCTGGAGATTGTCCACGATTTAAACTCTCTTGCTTGGTATACTTTATGCCACTTAAAAAGAATATCTAGATGTATTTTAAAGGCAAGGTAGACTACGAGCAGCCGTTCTCTTGTGTTTCGCGGCGTTGCCGCTTACCGCTCGGTAGTTACGGTGCCACTTCACTTGCTTTGAAGCAGAATATAAAGAGGCAATTTGAGGCTGGGTTTGTTTATTTTAGTTGTGCGTATAGTACAAAATATTTCCACTTGAGGATGAAGCAAATTTTTGATAATCGATAGTTCTCTGCGCCACTGAGGTTTTTGGTGGCGAATGTTTGACTTTACTGGGGGAGTGTTAAAAATGTAAGTTTTTCAAAACGTATTTTCAGGAATAATATTATACGAGCGGTTTTAGGTTGTGTCAACAGTCGGTTAATTTTCGGGTTAATTTGCATTTGTCGTGCAGCTCAAAATATAGCGTAGGAGAACCTGAACCATTTTTGTATCATGCATCAGATTTAAATGGATAAAGTATTAATTCCGTTGTACATAGTAAGCATTGTCTTTGCCTCTTGAAGTCTCTGAATAGCAAGATGCTTAATGACAATAATTTTTGTTGAATTTATAAAGTGGAGATGGTATTGTTGAATTTTTCTGCAAGTGACGGAAAGCAATACAAGTAAAGTAAACATTGTAAGCAATTTTGAAAATATTATATTGAAAAAGAATAAAATTGAACTAGTTAACATAATATACAGTTATTGAAATTCAGTTAATTGAATTTATTTTGTATCGTTTTAACAGATTATATTATTTAAAAAAATAATAAACATTAATGCGAAATAGTTGATGGGGTTCTTGCTTTGTCGTGGCAAAACGTTATTGTTAGCATTAGGAAAGGAAAATACAATGGAACCTCGATTTAACGAACCTCGATATAACGAACCTTTATATAACGAAGTCCTCGATTTAACGAATCTCTTTATAACGAAGTCCTCGATATAACGAACCTCTATATAACGAAATCCTCGATATAACGAACCTTTATATAACGAAGTCTTCGATTTAACGAATCTCTTTATAACGAAGTCCTCGATATAACGAACCTCTATATAACGAAGTTCTCGATATAACGAACCTCTATATAACGAAGTCCTCGATTTAACGAACCTCTATATAACGAAGTCCTCGATATAACTAACCTCTATGTAACAAAGTCCTCGATTTAACGAACCTCTAGATAACGAAGTCCTCGATATAACTAACCTCTATGTAACAAAGTCCTCGATTTAACGAACCTCTAGATAACGAAGTCCTCGATATAACTAACCTCTATATAACGAAGTCCTCGATATAACGAACGATTTTTTTCAGCCCGGTCTAAATTACAATAAAATGTATGGAACAGAACCTTGATAATAACGAACCTCGAATTAACGAAATCCTCGTTATAACGAACACAATCCAGAAACGCAAACGTAGAATATACCTCGATATAACGAATAAATGTCAACAGTTGACCGAAACATAGCTAAGAATGAATGCGAAACAGACAAACGAGGATAAAATTTATGTGTGGAGCAGTTTTGTTTGCCTGTTCTTGTGTTTCTAGTGGCGTAGCTTAGACTTTCTAAAAGTCCTTTATTGTTTTTCCTAGTTGGTTATGCCATTTTGACCTCGAGACTTTGTCGCTCGCTCGGTCGCTACGCGACCTCATGCATTGAAGCTCGCTTCGCTCACTTTTAAGAGCTGATGAGAGGTCTACTTGTATCAAGTCTAGGCGTAGCTATGTACAGCTTTGAACTGAGACAATAGCTTCGTATTCAAATGTTTATTACGGAAATTGTTCAGATCCGGAAATGCAGGGCGTTGGAAATTACTCATTAACTGTACCTCGATATAACGAACATTTTGCTTGTTTTCCTAAAAATTCGTTAAATCGATGTTTTCGATGTAACGAACCCTCTATATATCGAACAAATTTCCCCAGTCCCTTTGTTCTTCGTTAAATCGAGGCTCCACCGTAAAATGATTTACAAAATGCTGATCACTAATGGAAGGTCGTCCCGTTGCAAATGTTTTTCTCGGTATAATCATAACTTAATTTGTCGTCCTGCTCTGAAAGAGGCTTTTCTCTTCCCTGTTTTGGGAAAAGGAACTAAACCATCGGTTTATGTGAAAACCACCTTTACCTCCCGTCCGATTTCGGCTGATTTCGGCCCTCGAGCGTATGACGCGGTATTCCCTTGAGCAGCTCTACCTTTTGTTAGCGGTTGTCACTTTTCGAAGCCGAATGCCACATGTGGCCACGAACCCCGCCCTGTCTCATCACTGACTGGTACTGCAGTTTGGTAGTACGTACTTGTCACTAGCGCAAAGAGCGTGAACTTTATTCTGCAGAATTCCTGTGTAACATCTTGTCTGCTAGTTAAACCATATTTTGTATGGTTTAGTTCTTTGACACCGAAATAAATCAATCATATAGCAAGCGCCTTATCTCGCTGATCGCTTTCTTCTTGGCCTCGAATGCACCTGAAATAAGGCAATCCGAGAACAAACATAACACATTAACAAGAACTACGGACGCAAAGTGATTTGCCGTTTTGCGTTTAATTTATTGGCCACTGTCAGTATGATTACAACATTGCTTTGAAAACAAAAGTAAATACTGACTGGAGTTTCGGAGCTATTCCCTGAAAAATGTTTGCGTCCCTGTAAATAAAGAAACGAAAAGCAAAGACACAAACAAAAGCAAATCAGCTATGCTTAATTGTGTAACATTTTCATGCCTTGGTTGGTGTATACCATCTTTCTTAATATTTTGTTAGTATTTATGTTTGGTACTGAACATGGTAAGGACGAGTTTCTTAATTACTAACGTTAGATCCACGTACGCCATAAGCTTTCTAGACACCTAGTAAATTGCACATTATAGTTATCAAAATTGAACTTCTTGACAGTAATCGCAATCAGTGGCAGATTCAGTTCTTTAAGTAAATAGGGCTGGCGCTCATAAGGAAATGATATTTTTCTGACTCTGCAGGCCTTTGTTAGGCCTAAAAAATACGGTAGGTTGCCCCTAGTTCCGCCATTAGCACATCCTCGGAGACCCAGGGACAGTCAATCGGGTCCTTCTACGCACCGTTTCTGCCGACCCGACTGACTGCCCCTGCTTCTCCGCCCAGTGGCAGTAAAATGAACTCACCACGTTTAGACGTCACATCCGTAAAGTTCAAGCCTCATGCATGGATATGCCGACTTTCCAACAAGGATCTTGACATATCTTGCCGTAACGAGGTTGAATGTGTTGATCACAGGTGTGAAATGGTCACAGTTACCGATGAAATTCTACAAGAGAGTAGTCAATTTACCCGATTTTATCCGATGTCCCATTGCAGTCTTTATTTTAAAGGAATGAAGTTTTTGAAGTTGCTGTACTTATTAATTTACTATTGTTCAAAGGCACTGTGTCACAAAATTTACCGAATTTCAGTCATTTATTTTCAGTAAGAGAACATTTCACCAACACAGCCAACAACTAATGAAGGCACTGTTGGACAAAATTAAAGTAGTTTAAAACGGATTTCAATAAATTGCGCAGTGAAAACTGTTCAGCCTGACAGAGTCTCAATTCGAATTGCAAAGCGTTATGATCTAGTAAAAAAGCGTTCCGATTCCGCTTACCATTCCTTGCCTTGTCTTGTGAAAACAAGGTTAATTTCCTCAAAGTTGCGTGTAAAAGCGGAAGAACTCGAAGCTAACTCGACCAATAAAAAATCATGGGACTGACCGTTTTATCCGATAACTTAGTTTCTCACTACGAGATCGTAAGCAATGGACTCGGACGAAAATGGAAACGTTCTGATTTTTTCGACACCGACTTTGTGGGAAGTGATTTCTTCCCCGGCTCAAGAGTTCACTTTCGTAACCGGCAGAACTAAACAAAATGGACTAAACGAGGGCCACAAGTTTATCATTTCTTATTATAACTGTCAAGTGTTACCTTCTTTAAATAAAGAAGTTCTACTCCACTCCACTAAGGGTAATTTTCCCCTGGCTGAGTGTAACGAAATAAGTGGAAAATGCTTTTCTCACACACCACGGGGGTTCTGGGTATAGGTCGTGTGACGGAAAGGCGGGCAGTTGCTTTTGTTGCGTCCGCCATTACTGACCTTTCCACCCACCCACCCTAAGATTTCACTTTTGTAGATTGAATGTAATGTGCAACTTTGTAATTTTGTTCGTGTCCCATCTTTCTAGGGGTATGTTGCGTGTACATTTTTATGAATTTGGAATAAAGGTCGGCTTGGCGTAGCTACCAGTGGTGTGTGAGAAACGGCATTCGGATACACTCATTTTAAGTTAAGTGCCACATTACCCTCTCATTTCCATTTTCTTTGTAAACTTCAAAGTTGGATCCGTCATTACTGAAGGCCAGTTTGTACTCCTTAACATGCTCATGGAAAACGTCACGACCTTCAAAGACATCAAAGCGCGATCAAAACACTGAATAATCCCGTCATAGATGCAAGCCCCAAGTTTGTTACTGTTTACTTTTCGCAGTTGATTTAAATGCGTATGTAACGGCGATTTTATTTTCTTCATTTGAAATACACACTAATCATGAAATTGTTTAGAATAAGAATAACTTGCTCAAGGGAAAACAGAGACAAGACATGTAGGCCTTTCTTACTTTCCAAATGAAAAGAAAAAACAAGCGAACAAAAAAACAACAACAACAAAAACAAAAGAAACAATAACAACAACAACAGTAGCGAGGAAAAAAATACAGACAAAGTGAAATTGTAAATTTTGTAAACAGGCGTTGGTAATTGTGTCTTTGACGTTGGTCTGTACTATTTACCTTGTGTCGCAATTGCTCGTATTTTCCTTGTTTTTCCTAAGTCAACCCGCAGCCACTGGTTTTCTCGATCTGTTGCACACCAAGCCCCAATTCGTTTGTTATCCTGATCGTCCTCAAAGTAAAGACGGGCATTGTCCGCAGATGCTCTCCAACCACCTGAAATAAACCGGGTGTGAATACACTCGTTAAATATGCCTGAGCTTAAAGCCGTTTGGGTTGATTCTGTTACTGAAGCAGATAATTTATGCAAGACCTCTAAATTTGACAAGACGGGTGCCCTTTTCCATATGTGGCCGCTATAGTTATAATCAGACCACTTTCATTTAGACGGTATTTTCCTCTTCCTTGGGTTTTATTTGCATAGCAAAATTATCAGTTTCTTTTAACTGATATTTTTTCCTAAACCATTTTTCTTATGGCGGACCATACATAACTATAAGTCTATGGTATCCTGGTATTTTATGGTAATACAGTCGAACTTCAAATCTCTATAATCAGAACCTCTTGTAAACGACCACCTATATTATTATCATTATATATTCAATATTTTTACTGGGATGCGAGATAACTTTAAACTAAAATCTGAGTGTTACTGATATAATTATGTCGACTGTACTTGGTCTGTATTCTGTCGAGGCACTGAAGGCCTTATCGGGGAGTGTGAACCCTCCAGGCCACCCGAGACCAAAAGCGTCGGAGCAGGTCCCTAAAATGGAAAAAAGTGGAATTAAAGGCGACTGAGCGAGATAAAGAAAGAGAAAGGATCTCAGCAGTGGAAGTGGTGAACTGGAGTGTGGAAATCAAGAAATGACAATATCAGTTTATTGTCTTTGGTATTTGACGGCAGTTAATGAAGTTTGTTTATACTCCAAGAACTGAGGAAATCGTTCACCAAATGCTCGTTGAGATCCGAATAGAAGTGTGAAGTTTGGTTCCAGAGTGCGGAAGGCAAAAAGGCCTTCGAGATTAAAGACGGTAGAGAACTAAGAACAAACTGTCTTAAAAAAAGAAAAGAGAGTGACTCTCGAACTCTAATTCCGATATGCGCAGACTTTCGTCTCGAATTTCACGCCACAAATTTTTTCCTCGGTTTTAATTTTATTTCCCTTGTTTCATACTCATTATTTAGTTCAATAACCTGGATAACATTAAATATGCTCAGAAAATGTTTAGAGATTTGAACTTTGGAAATCCAGGGTCCGTTCGGTTTCCATATGATCGCTGCGATCGTTGGAGAGTGGTTTCCATATGAGCAACGATCGCTGAACTTTTTTTATCAGCGATCGCAGCGATCATAGCGATCATATGGAATCCGGGTTAACTTACTCACAAGATCGGAAAAGTTGTAACCAAGATATCATGATCTCTTGTCGTAACTTGTTTACCGTTTGGTTTAACAGGATACGTATCACACTTGGTTTTGCAGCTGATTCGACAGTTTTCCTCAGTCCAGCCATTGGTGACGCACTGCCCCATTGCAGCATATTGTTGGCATTCCTCCCTTATGTCCTTACATATCAGGTCTATTAAAATTCAGAGTGATTGAAAAGATTAAATAATTAGGACGGCCTTTGCTTTCGGACCATGATGTTATTTCCGTAACGTATTAGAAGATTTGAGCTGAGTTTGAGGTTTTGAGGTGTCAGTCAGTAAAGATACTCTTTTTCAAAGGTAGTTTCTGTTTTATAACATCTCGGTGAAAGCTTTCAAAGAGTTCTTTCAAAGTATTATCTTTCCCCCATACATAAATGCCGAACACTAACACTCGACTGCTGGTAGTTTTAGTGATTGTCAGACGTTGAAGTTGTGAAGGTGCATGTGAATCATAAACCACATTGGGAGGTTTTGCTTAAGAGTCGTAACTAAGGCGAAATTGAATTGCCTCATGTTTGTTGTTATTAATTTGACTCACCCACTCCAGTCCTGTTGGACAAATGTGTTGGAAGTGTAGGAAAGTTTGTTGGTCCCACGGTTGGCTTTGGCTCTACACGAAAGAAAACAAAACAAGCAAATGCTGAAGACTTGAATGGAGTTTAAGGGCGTTTATTCTGAGTAGACCAAGGGTTAATGGCGTTTAGAGAAACCTCAGTTGTTTGCTCTTGAAAGTGTTAGCAATTTTTTTTACTAATCAAAAATGAATGTGACTTGATGGGTTTCTGAACCGATTTGCTTAAAGTCTGACCTCTCTTCACTTTGATCATTCTTGCAGTGTTACAAGAGACTTACTAATCTTGACTTAGCTGATATTAATTTTTTTAGTGCACGGATTTTTACTTAATTGAAACTATTTTTTGAGCTTGAGCCTTCGAAATCGTAAGAGAAGGGAAATAAGTTATGCTTTTGTTCAATCATGATTTGAACTTTATAGGGCTTGTTATACACGGATTAGGTCAAATAAGGGGAATCAATCTGTAATGGTGCCTCGTCACCAGCGCATCCATATTGAATGGGCACTTGTCTGAATCGTTTGCTCAAAAGTATTGCCCTTTTAGAAAGTTAACTTTCCTATCACTCACTTGAACACTCATCACAGAAACCGCATGTGTGGGGACATTCCCTCTCCATTTTGCCTGAGTCTGAGGAGCAATCACCTCTCTGAGCTCGCGTTTTGCAGTCAGACTTAAGATCGACACAGTAATCTATTGTATTCATAAAGGAAATACAGAATGAGTTCACTTGTTATGTTTATTAGAAGTTTCCTTTCTTTGACATGGGAATCTCTTTTTTTTAACTTCAGAAGTCGATTAAAGTTTATGCGCCTTATAAAAAGGTCTTAATAGCTATGGTGGGCTAGGGCTTGCGCTGGAAATGACAACTTTTAAATTTATTTATTACCTTTACCAAACCTGATTGTTGGTCAGTTCAACTCTGCGACACAAAGTGCCATGTTTGTTTGAAAACTCCCCCAAGTTTGCGCACGCGCTCAGACGTCGAATATTTTCGTAATACCCCTATTGCTGGCCACGCCAGCAATACTAACTTACTTAGTACCAACTTCTGAGGGGGAGAGTTACATTGACGCAGCTTCGTACCCAGGCCAGTTTGCGCTATTCGAGTTACCAGAGGAGGCTTGAAACCTAGTGCGATAGCTGGACAGGTGACGTCACATCCGAAATGGCCGAGGACGACTGGGAACGAGGCTGACATCAACGAAGTTTTCTCAACAATAAATCGCTCAAATTAAATTTAATATTTCTGAACGACGTGGCTACGACGTGCCGACCGCTTAATTCTCCATTAATTTTTTTCCCGAAGAATTCACATGTTCCATCACAGCGCGACTACACGAAGGTTTTTTGAAAACAAAAGACGTTAATTTTTTTTGCAAGTGGACCAATTAGATTCATAAATTTGAGGCCTTTTTCCTGAGAGGTCAGGAAAGTTCAAACGGTTTTAACGTTTTCAACAGTTGCATAGTTGTACCTTGAATTTAATTGGTCCGTTTGTATAAAAAAAAAGGAAGTGCCTCGGTTCGAGTAGTCGCAGTATAAATTACGCCGTCGTTTGCTTGCAGCCGGTATTATTGCAAAGAAAATCGTTTTCTTACCTGACGAACAAAATCCACAAGTTTTCTTACAGTGAACAATCATAGCAGGATGCTCCGTACAAAAGCCAGCCCGCTTCCAGTCTTCGCAATCAGCAGTCTTGGTATTGTCTTTGCAAACTTTCGGGTCTGGGTCTGTAAAGGAAAAGAGAAAGTGTCCGTTTAAGGCCCCGTCCACACGTATCCGGAGATTTTTGTATCCGCAAATTTTTTTATGCGGATACAAAAATATCTGCGTCCACACGTAGCGTATACGAATCGTATACGACCGTCCACACGTATCCGATTCGTATCCGGACATCTCAAAGGATTACTCAACAGAGCATGCGATTAAGACTGGTTCTGATACTGTGATGTCAGCGTATACAAAAATATACGGATACGAGCGTCCACACGTATCCGGATACACAGCGTATACAGAAATTTCCACTCTTGAGAGCGTATACAGAAATCTCCGGATACACCGAGCGTATACGGCGGATACGTGTGGACGCTAGGTGCATCCGCATAAAAAAATTTGCGGATACAAAAATCTCCGGATACGTGTGGACGGGGCCTAAGCCATTGTCTCGATTCACGCCGTCTTATGTAGTTTTAGGGAGTATAATTTTTCAATTCCTCCCCTTTTTTCTCAAAACCTAAATGGATTTTGTACATGTAGATTTGAAAACTAAATGTGTAAAAGATTACTTGTTGAGAATATTTTTATTTTTTTTATTCAGTGAAACAGGAGACTGGGAATAAAAATAATAATAATAATGATGATGACGATAATAATAAACATGAGTTCTTCCTACAGGAAGCCAAACCTGTGAGCTAACGTCGAGTTCAGGTGCTTTAGTACCCTCTACAGGGCATTGTTGGAACTCAAGGTCCCTAAAGTTTCGAAGATCAGTTATTAATTAACTAATATAACAAATCTTTTAAAACTTGTTTAACTGAAATTTTCCCGATGTAAGTGATAACTGACATTTTAAAGATGAAGTAGCTCACGCGTTCACTCCAGTCAAAAATTGTTCAACTTACCTGTGCATGTTTTGCAGGTGTTACAGGAATGAGGACAGTTCTTATCCATATAGGCTTTATCAGTTTTACATTTCCCCTCAGCTGCCCATTTCTTGCACAGCTTGTTGTTGTCCATACAACTATCTGCAAAAAGGATTTTTCCTGATAAATGCCCTTGTTTTCTTTTTCTAGTAGTAGTAGTAGTAGTACACATGTAGGAGCAGGAACAGGAGTTACTATTGTAGTAGTAGGAGGAGAAGTAGGAGCTAGAGCAGGAGCAGGAGTAGTAGTAGGAGGAGGAGTAGCAGTTATGGTAGTAGTTTAGTTGGCCACCACTGGTTTTAACGATCGACAGCTATAGTAGAACCTGACCATGGGCTCAACTATTTATCTCTTCGTAAAACAACTAATCGAACGCATGTTCAAATAACGTTTATTAAAATTCAAACATACTTACTAGAAGAACAGAAACCACAGGTTTTCTTGCAGTGATAAATCATAGCATCGTGCTCTTCGCAAAACCCATCCTCTTTCCAGCCCTTGCATTTAACTTCCTCAGCTTTGTCACCACAAAATTCTCTTCGTGCTGCAAAAAATAGGAAGAAGTAGTTCTGTAGTTCTGTACAAAGTCTATACTGAAATCTCATTACTAGGAAACCACTAACATAATCTATGTTTTCTGAAGAAGTCCGCTATCCGACTCTGTCATCAGCTGTATTACATGTTTACGAAGTGTTCGTCAACGTTATTATAACAAGTGATTATTGCTTATGGTATAATGATAAATTTGCAGAAATTCAAGGGCAAGATTATTCTGTGAAAAAACTAAAAACAAAAAATTCAACGCGTCAAATGTGATACCTGCTGTTCGTTGTTCCTCAAGTGAAGAAACTTCTCTTCGGGCTGGAAAAAAAATGAAAAATAGTAAATCTTTGAACAGAATAATAACATCAAAATAGTAGGAGTGAAAACAGGCAAACAGGACTTTGTTTTGAGCTCTGCTCCACTGCTCCAATGGTTATAGTATCCCCTGCGTGACAGTATTTCGATAAATAGTAGCGAGAGAGAAGCGCTGGTGCTAGAAAACACAGCTTGGGCAAGCGAGAAAAGTTAGGGAAACACTCCTCCGCCCCCTCCCACCTCCCTCCTGCGCTCCATTCCTTTGTCACTGACGCCCATGAAAGCGCGAGAGGAACTTCCCTTTATAAAACGTAAACAACCTATTTCGTGTGGTAGCTAAGTGATTTGACGTTCAAAGCTATGTAAGCAACAGTAATGTAGGTGGATAAAATTTTAAGGAGCTCCGCTTTTAGTCTTGGTTAATTCTATATATTGTATCGTCTATACGTACCTGGACATTTGTACATTCTACGCGCCTGCAAAGCATCATCGTCGCTGAGTTTTACATATGGGGTCTTTCCATGTAGAGGCCTGATCGGCTCCATTGTGTCTTGGCCATTGTTCGAAAATGCATTCCAAGGGTAGTGCATGATTGAAGCGTAATCATACGGTACTCCATAGTCAACTACTTCACTTCCTTGAACTTTCTTCTTGAAGTTGTACTTCATGTCTAAAAATTTAACACTTAATGAATCAGGCTGAATATCTTATGAAGAATTATGGAGATCAAGGAGGGTACGGCCGAGGCGGATAACACCCTCCGAGATCTCCATAATTCTTCATGTGATAAGAAAGCCGAATTCAATAATTGTTTTATCATTCATTCAAAATAATTCCTAGTCTGAAAACATAGCTAAAACATGCTTTCCTCCATCGATGTTAAGTTCATCTTCGATAGTGCACGTTTAGGGTTGTTTAGCTCCGCAAATATTCTCAACTAGCAGATGTCGCCCTTCTAGTTGTGTTCTTGCTGTTCTTGCGATGTTTTTAGCTATTATTTCGCCTAGTTCTTACTCTTGAAACGTGTGAAATGTCCGCCATTTTTGTTTTCAAAACCAAAACAACTCAACTTCGCTCCCAGGTCTTCTCGGTTAACGGTGCATTAACCTGCAAGAAGGCTGCACTTTTGACGTCATCGGTTCATTAAACACAAAATTCTTCCAAATTTGGTCATCAGTAGCTGCTTATGGTGAATTATGCTCGTGCTTTTAGCCAGTCAGAATCGGGGAAATGTTTTAAATGAATAATAAATAGATATTAATATCATAGAAAGATTATTCCCTTGTCCTACGGCTTGATCTAACTTGATGTCTGCTCTTCTGTTTCGGAAAACTTAGAAAGAAGTTAAGAGTGCCAATGTTAGCTATATAGTTGGAATTTTTTTTTGCAAGAGCATGAGCTGTCGTTAGCTTACTTGAGATCACATGCAATTTAAATACTGAAACGTTTCTCATTGCATAATATTTGATGTCATTGGCTATTGCGTACTGTTAATCTTTGACTGCTATTTCGTATATGTTGTTTTCATTTTGGACTTCGAATGTTCAACATATTTCTTAGAACCTCTAAGTTCAATCGCTTAGAGTCGAGTGCGGCCCCACTGTTGAATCATTAATTTTGTTCCTTTCTCCAAATTACACGTATCTCATTCCTCGGCTTTGATAAGTATTCCTACCCTAACAGAGTCCATATACAGTTCCCTTATCCCTTGGGTATCATGCTTGAAACTTTGCTATCTGTCTCTTACTTTCGTTAATGTTTTCCCAATGTATCTTCAGGTAGTTGTCCCTATCAGGTCTGCTTTGTTCGTGCCAAAAGCCAATGGCGTGACCGAGCTCATGTGTCATGACGTGTTTGTATTCACAGCCATGACCAATGGAAAGCCAGGTTTCTCGTCTTGGAATCTTACCAACCTCACACCAACAACTGTCAAAAGTGAAAAGTCGTAATGAGCAATAAGATTCTGTTTAATTAAAAAATTTTCATTAAACATGGACAAATGAAAGGGCAGCATTTACGTCGTTTCATATATCGAATCTAATCAGAGTTTTCATGTAAAATATATTAAAAATGGCGTAAACTCGTGCCAATTATGACGTCATATCGCGTGACCTTTCAGAACTACATTCGTGCAAGGTGTTTCTCAGAGATTATGGTAATGCTACGGAAGAGAAGATGTTTTAGCTTTAAAACGGGTTTGGACAAAAACAAACAAACAAACAAGCAAAATCGAAGGAGGTAATGACATTTGCCCTCCTTATACGCAGCACTACTAGGTTTACTTGTAGCTCAAAGAAACAGATTAACATGTTCCCCATTCAAAGTTTCGTTTGTACAGATTTTATTTTGAGTTCAGAATATATGATCATACCCTTGTCCTCGATAAAGCCACAAGAACTCCTTCTCAGTTGTTCTCTTGACAAATCTGATGCAGGTTTTGCTCTCCCACTCCGCCATCGCTTCTAGTGTTGTTCGTACCGCACGATCAATACTTGCTGGGAAAGTATTTAATAGTTTTAGTGTTTAGCCTTAGTCACATGACGATAATTCGGATTTCTTGAGCTCTCATTGTCATGCCTTTAATTAATTTTCCTCGAGTATCTGTAACTGTTGTTGTTTTAGCCTGGTCTACACTGGGGAATGCGTAGTGTGAGATGCAATGTCTTCCCCTTCCTAGAGGCACTATTAGTGAGATATTATATAGGTTTATGACCAGAGTGCGCTTGAGTATGGTCTCAGTTGTCCAAGGATTGGTGCATTCATATAAGATAGTATGTAGTTGGTTTCATTGGAAGCCTGGCCTCCAAACATGGAAAATGTTGAAAGGTCAAGAAATGTATCGTTCTCCCACCCTGGAAAAAAAGAACTTTCCATGGCTTTGTTAATGACCTTATTAACCAACATTTATATATAATATATTTCTATAAACTCACCTACACTACAATCAAACTCGTACGGAATGACAGCATTGGGCCACTTAATCTTGTCCACATTAGTTGCCGCACGTGCAGGGGAACCATCCGGATCACCAAAGACCAATTTATTTAGTCTTTGTCTCTCTGTCAGCTTTATGTCTCCTTCGTATAAATGAGACAAAAGCTGCGGACTCTCCGTGTTATCTGCAAAGGAGGTACATGGTATCACAAGGTTATTTTATAAGTGAAATAAAAATGATGCCTTTAGCAATGCAAAGTCAGGTTGTGGATGTCACATTAGGAAATAACCAGCAATAAATCGAAAACTGCATCGATATCTTGGAACAAAAACTTGCAATGAAGACATTCTATGTGGCCCTAAAACCACTGAAATACGTTGCTTTTCCTCGAATAAAGATTGGTGTTGATATAACCTTTGAAATCTTGATCTTTTTGTCCTTTCATTCAGGTAACAATTTACCTTTTTAGCACAATTACTTTGATTTGAAGATGGAAGGTTTACATCTTCGATAAGAAGATAAATATTGTTATCATTAATTGGCTGACCTCTTTTTTTTGGGGGAGATTTCACCATTTTCATTGGCCATTTTATGGTTGATTGGAGACTAGCTCGGTGTTGTGTCGAATTGCATTATGGGACTGTTTGGTGGAAGCTATGGCTTCTTTTCTTGGCTAATACGAAGTTGTACAGGAAACTGGGTTAAAATTCATCCCTTAAAACAGTTCCACAGCACAATATAACAAAATACTGCAGTTATACCACTGTACTGACTCAAAATATAACTTACTCCAAGTTAGTCAATGGTCAAGCCATTTAAATCGGCTACTTGAGCTCCCTAATTTAACGCTAATTTCACTGAAACTAACCTTTTCCTAGATTGATATCCAGTATCCTTTCAAATGCTCCTTTCTTTCCTGTACTTCCTGTGGCCATTGAGAGAATAATAAGACTAGCCAGCAAAGTAAACCGTTGCGTCATCGTGGAAGACAATACTAGTTTCAGTCTCCTGGTAGAAAAAAAGGAACTAACTTCTTCTCTGAATTCTTAGTCACCGGGTCCTCTAGTACTATCCAATTAAATGGAGAAATGTTTTTTCCCAAGAAAACAACCTTTGGAATACTCTTAAATATTATTATTTGATAATAGGTTTTTTGAAGAGTTATTGTTAGCATTCTAAAATCGTCTATTAGAGTAAGGCACCATAACAACTCGCAGATATGCTACGTGTTTGCTGATATGATAATGAAATAATATCTTAGTTACTCTCCCTGCCTGAAGAAATGATGGCTAGAGGTGATTTAAAAAGATGACAGTTTTGTTCGTTAGAGAACGTGTCTCATTCTTTTGTTCCAATTCGCAGTTTTGCTCAAAAATAATTGGCAAAAGTCTTGAAATTTGATCAAAGAAAGAAAGCTTTATAATCTGCCAAAAAATTAAATTAAGTAAAAGCACTGTCTATAAATGTAGTAGTTAAAAATTAAGTCAGCACCTGCCAGCCTTGCTCTGCGAAGTTTTCCAGCCCGTACCACGTCTTGAAATAAAGTGAACATACACCTTAAATCCTGACCCTCATTTAAACAGACGCCTTCCTGGTTTCTTTTAGAACAATCAAACGCTTTCTCAGGAGCACGCCTGTGTTTAAATAAAAACAATGCCTGGATCCTGCCTGAGCACTTATTTACCGTCTTTATTTTTTTTGTTTTTGTTTTCCACAATAATTCTTTAATACGTCAACGCACAATTTTCAGATGTTTAAGTGTAAATTCCTATTGTTTCTTCTCTTGATGCTAGTGAGAACTTGTGGGGATAATTTATCCGTTTATAGTTGTAAATTATTTCCATTTTTTTTTTTCACAATTTACAAGCAACGCACACAAAGCGGTTAAAAGGCAAAACAAACAACTAGCCCCCAAACACTGTTTCAATATTAAAAGAAAAGCTTTATTTATTTACTTAACAAAAGCATTCTTTGAAATTCGGTCCAGTCTCTAAGTCCTAAAACCGGTTTTATAATTGGGGACATTACTGCAATACTGAGTGTATCGTGATTAATTTTGCGGCACTAAACTAAAGTTAATTTCTTTAATAAATAGAAACTAAAGGATGCCTAATTGATCTCTTTTTTTGAACAGATTGTGAAAAAGAGTGCTGTGTCACAATCATATATCTCACACTGCGATTCTATTAAGGAACAATTATACTATAAACTGAAATATACTTCAGCTGATGCTGCAGCGTACACTTGGCATATCTTCGATAAAGAGGTTTAATTTATGGTTTAACCCTTTAAGCCCTAAGATCAAAATCTGAATTCTCATTTGTTGCCCCTATTCATTTCCTACACAAGTAGTGGGGAGAAGTTGATAAAATATCAAGCAAATTCATCTTGTGTGATCATGTCCGTAATTCTCATGACCACTCTGTTTTACAAGCATTGATATTACAAGGAGAAATTTGATGCTGATCACTATTAAGGCTTAAAGTGTCTCTTGCTTTATTTACCAGTTCAATGCGTCCCCCCTCTTTCTCACACACAAATATGATAACTTAGTTTTCCCCTCGTGTAAGAAGAATTCAGGTTTACCTCACTGACAATTCTACGGGATATGGGAAACTAATGCATAAAAAAATCCCTATTCAGTTTTAATAACAATGAAATATTATTTTAGGAAAAAACAGCACTGTTCAAAAGCAGCCTTTTGTGTTTATTATAATTTGAATGTGCTTCCTTGTGCTGTTGTAAAATAAAACCCTGTCGTTAAACGTTTCTGACGTTAATAGGTAAGCATTGATAGAATCCATCAGCCCAGCCATTCTCTAAATAAACGTCGTCTAAGCCGTCTTAAATAGTTTAGGAACGTTGAGGAACAAGAACAAGTCTTCCCCATACTTGAATTTTATGGTACAGTCCTGCAAGTAACTTCCTGTGCCATTTACATGTAGCTAGGGAACACACTGTAACGTGAAAACAAAGGCAAGGAGAACTTTTAGGCAAAAGGCGTCAATTTTATCGAGTTTATCAACCAGTGTTTCGTTTATTATTTGCTGTACCTTTGTAAAAGATAGATAAAAGTTAAGTTTGTGCATATAATACTACTTTTGAGTCAGATACAACCATTTAGAGCAACTAACACTGATGCAAAAGAAAAGAAAATCTTCTTTTGGGTTCCCCCTTCTTAAAATTACCTAACGTGATGACCAAAATTAACCTCATCAAATATGAGGTGAATTCGTTATGTTGACTGGACACTCTGTTAACTAATGCTTGTCCCAGAAAAAGACAAGGGCTTATCTGAATTATTTTTATTATAAATACTAGATAAATATATCATAAGTAGGTTGAGTATGATTGTCCGGGTGAACGTAGACCTAAATAGGACGCTGTTGTTGACAGTGACTGACGTTTCGACAACCTGTGCAGTATTCATCGTTAGAGTCAAATTGAGTTGTAACACGTCAGTTGATCGTATTAAACTCTGGTTATTGACCTGATTGGTTAATTAATTCGTGATGTTATTGGTCGTCTGTTAGTAAAACCGTTTTGTTTTTGGCTTGTGTAAACGTTTTCCTTGTCTTTGTTTTCACCATTAGATAAATATAAGTTAGCACAAAGCAAAAGAAGTCTTAAATTGTGTTTTTTGCTGACCCTAAGTACATTTCGAACAATTGGAAGTAATGTTGGGGTAATACCCTAAAGGATTATTTCGGAGTTCATACTTTCAGGATTTCTTGCAGATTTTTCCCCATGAGCTTAAAGGATGGTGGGTTAAGGGTTAGGAAAGTGTGTTAAACGTTTTGCGTCCATTTTGAACGTTCATCTTTTGTTTTGTACCATGTCATCTTAAACGCCACAGAAGAAGCAATCTTCCCCATGTTACGAACAGTAAATAAATGGAAACAACGGTTATTAAACGTTTCCCCGCCGCTGAGTTAAGGTACTTATAAAAATGGTCACCATTGCTGTTTGGAATACATTCAATCTTGAGAGTAAGTAGATTACTTGGACTTAAGAACATCAGTGGATCTTAAAGTAAAAACTCAGACTCACAATGGTAAAGGTATGTTGTTTCATCAATGTTAATTGAAGATCTAGAAAATCAGTTTCTCGACAAAACAATTTTACTCGAGTGGTTGTACTGGTTGAACGCGTGTTTAAGAACTCTCCGAGTTAAAATCCTAATTTGTCTCTTTTTTGCCAATAGTCCAGTTTCGAGTTCGCTATGACTGCTGAATTAAAGAACTGAAGACGCATTTTTTACAGCCTTAGCCTCCATCTGAAGTAATATATTCACAAATTCTGACGAGAAAAAGACCGTTTATTACTTTGTCTATTGTGTATATTCAAATTTCAAACACTTACTTGCCGGAATTTCTGAATATTTTACTTTACGTCGAGGCTAACCCTGTATGAATGTATCGTTAATGTCTGTATTCAGCTGTAATTTTTAATTCGAAACTAGACTATTATGACCAATCGGCTTTACGAAATGAGATAGCTGATTTGAAAGGAAAAGTACAGAAAATTTCTGAAGATTTTTCGTCAAAGATTAGCGTTTTTCCTAAGATGTAATGGTAATTACAATAAAACTATGATAGAAATAAGAATTATTGTTCTCTCTCTTAATCTGTATTCGTAACTGAGTCAGCGGACGCAATCTGTGTTAACACCACTGCTTGTAACAGAGCCCTACCAGCCAAATGGGTCTAGAGAACAATGCTGACGTTGACGGGATTTCCTTTTTACAGGGAAATATTCTTCTGGCCCTTTCTCTTCTGTTGTTGTCCTACGAAGCCTCTTGCAAACCACGAGAGGTCATTACAAAAGCCATTCATTCAAGTGCGTTACCTCCGAGTCCTGCCTTGTTGCCCAACTCTTCACGAATCCATCCTTCGTCACGTTTCAAGCGACATTCACTTTCTGAGTGTGAAGACCGAAGGTTTATGGTTAATGGAACATTGGTTCTTGAATGTAAGAGAGGTTGTTTTGATTGCTTTGATCCTCTGCTTGGAGCGGGAGATGGAACGTGTGTGAGCATAAGAGATAAAAACAACGTTGTTGTAGGATGTCGTTGCAGACAATAGCATAATTGAAGAAAGATTGTACAAGTTAATTAATTGTGTTATGGAGTACATACAGGATATATTTAAGCCGAATAACTTAACAACAGGATCGAGAACCCACATGTATTTATCATAGAAATTTGTCAATAAAATAGATTTGAACAGCTTTCGAAGTGTTCACGAATGTTTCATCTTATAAGGCTAGTTGCAAAGTAACTTCAAGTTGTTCGTAGCATTGATTGCAGAGCACCCGGGTGTAGGCGCGCAGTCAACCTCGATTTGGGGCACTTGGAAGAAGATTATCCAATCACAACTTACGTTTTTTGAAAACCAAATATTCTCAAGCTTTTTCTTTTTGCAAACTGACCAATAACATTCATAGATTTCAGGTTGGTTGAAACGGTTTTAAAGTTTTCAGTGGTTGCATAGTTGATCCTTGAAGTTAATTAGTCCGTTTGCAAAACATTTGAGAATTTTTTCAAAAAGCGTTGTCTTTGTATAATCTTCCAAGTGCCTCAGGTCCAGTAGTCGCACGGTAATCATAGCGGTATATTGTAATATTTATTCTTGATGGTGAGCGTACGGTTTTCGCGCCTGCGCAGTTCAGTTATACGACCGCAATGTGCATGTAATACGGTTCATTTTCATATGGTTTGGTCATAAGCCTATTTTTATATCTCTCTGTCAGTGGAACTAATTACAACCAAACAGCTCATTGCAACCTGGAAACATTAGCCATTCTTTAATAAGGACATTATTGCTTTGTGCATATCGATGAGAAGTGTGTTGATACTGGCGTAAGTACATAACATTCTGCCTTAAGTGGGTCCTCCCCTAAGCCAAAAAAGGCAAATAAAAGAGTAGTTTTACACTGAGCAGTTTATTTGTCATTTAAGTTGCCCTTAGACAGCATCTAA